CGAGCCCCTCGTCCAAAGGACGGGCTCCTCATACTGGACCTTTCCCGAGAACGCTGGCAAGAGAATCGACAGGGAATACCTGCAGTAAGGGCCAGGCTGGGCCGCGGGGCTGCCTGCGGGGTGGGCTGTGCCTCCCATCCCCAGAGCACTGGGCTGGGGGCAGCTGGTGGAAAAGCTGCTTCATGCTGCTGTTATTGATGAGTTGCCTTGAGAGGGGTCTCATTCTGCCTAGGGTGTGCAGTGCTGGAGGAGCCTGCCTGGGAGAGCTGCGGTTGTGGGTGCTTTTGGGCCATCCGACTCTCATGGGGATTCATGTTCCCGATGGGGGTCTTGGAAAGAACCCCCTCCCTGCTGCACTGGGATGAGCCGGCTGCTGCTTGGCTCCAGCTTCTGCTTTTCTCGGTCTGTTGAACCCTCTGAAAGCTGCCTGGTGCAGAGGAGAACATTGGCAGTGCCCAGGGTATGGGCTCTTGCTCCCCGCCACACGGCAGCAGCAGCTGCTGCTCCACTCGGAGAAACCCTCAGCCTGGTGCTGTGGGGCCATTTCCCAGGAAACCACATGGGTGTCACGAGAGTCTCGGCCAAGGCTGGGGAAGCTGCAAGACAGAGTTAGACTTTCTGCTGGGTGCGATAAGGGCACCCCTCCTTCCTGCTCTGTCCCTCCCTCAGGAGCCTCCACAACAGGCGTCTCTACCTGGCTGTGTTTGCCGCTGTTCTGGGGAACTTCAGCTTCGGCTTTGCCCTGGTTTACCCCTCACCCGTGATCCCTGCCCTGGAGGCTCACCCCAGCCCCGCGCTGAGGCTGGACCAGAACACAGCGTCCTGGTTCGGGGTAAGGAGCGGGGTTGTCCCTGCTGCAGAGGGAGGCAGAGCCGGGGGAGCCCAGACCCACCGGGCCCCCTCTCTGTGTCCCCCGCAGTCAGTGTTCATGCTGGGGGCGGCGGCAGGGGGGCTCAGCACCATGCTCCTCAACGACCGCCTGGGCCGCAAACTGAGCATCATGTTCTCGGCACTGCCCTCCGCCGTGGGATACGCGCTGATGGCCGGCGCCCAGGGAACCGGGCTGCTGCTGCTGGGCCGCGTGCTCACAGGCTATGCTGGCGGCGTGACGTCCGCCTCCATCCCGGTAACGTGCCACTGGAGGGAGCTTGCCGGGGGGTTGCGCGGCAGGAGATGGGGCTGTAGCTGAGCCCGGGACATCCCTTTGCTTTCTGAAGGCATGAGCAGAGCTCCAGCGTTGTGGCTGGTGACTGGGGCTGGGGAAGATGCGCTGGAAAGTCCCAGGGCGATGGACTTTCTTGCCTGCAGAAAAGGGAAGGCAAGTCCTCAGCCCTGCCCTGTTCCTCCCAGCAGTGGTTCCCTCAGCATTTACCAAACGTTGAGCTCATGTCCCAAGCAGAGGGGAAGGCGAGCATTGAGCAACCCTGTGGCACGACTTTCCAGTAATGGGAGTCTGAGCGCGCTGCGCGCTGCTGGAGCACTTCCCCCGTGCTGGGAAAGGGAGGGAACTGGAGGCGCCTGCAAGGCTCCTGGTGCTGAACCAGTCAGGTTCCCACCCCTAGAGGACAGTTTCCCAGCAATTCGGGTTTCCCTTGGCTGCAGTGGACCACTGCGAGGTGACAGAGTTCAGGTTTTGGTGGCAACAGCCATGTTTTAGAGCTCTGTTAAGCAGGTGTTGTCCTGCTCCAGGTGTACATCTCGGAGATCTCCCATCCCGGGGTCAGAGGCACGCTGGGCGCTTGTCCTCAGATGATGGCAGTGCTGGGCTCCCTCTTCCTGTATGCGCTGGGCAAGTATCTCAGTGTTCAGAGGGCAGGAAACCCTCCGTGGGACCTTGGGGAAGGGGATTTTATTTTAAACTTTGTCAGCAAGTTGATTGATTCCTTTCCCTCACAGCCACCAGCCCAGGTGTGCAAAGGGGGCCTGGACAGGATCACCCCTGTGTGACTTTCACTTGTGTGTGTGTGTGTGTGTGTGTGTGTGTGTACACCCAGAGGGACAAACCCATAACCTGCATGGATCATGGCCATTACCACACCTACAGACCCAGGTCCTGCCAAGGTTTTGCCAGTGCTGAAAAGCAGCATGCAATGAACTGTGTGTGTACCTCCTGTGAGCATGTGCCCTGGTTGCTGCAGGATCTTGCTGGATACTCTAAGATCTGGGGAGCTTGCTGGAATTTCCCTGTATTGTCAGCTGAAAATGCTTCTTTTCTAGGAGAAAAATATGTGCAATAACTCAATTTTTTCCCCTGCTGGATTTATTAAATTTAAATTGTGGTATTGCCTACGTGGAGGCACCAGGACACCCTTCCCAATGCGCCTTCTGCTCCTGACTGTGCTGCTCCGGCAGGGCTGGTGCTGGACTGGCGCTCACTGGCTGTCGCTGGGGAGGTGCCCGTGCTTGTGATGAGCATCCTGCTCTGCTTCATGCCCAACTCGCCCCGGTTCCTGCTCTCCCAGGGAAAGAAGGATGAGGCATTGGTGTCACTGTGCTGGCTGCGGGGGAAGGACACGGACTACATACAGGAGTATGAGCAAATCAAGGACAGCGTGAGGAAGCAGGTGAGGATGTTCACCTCCAGCATGGCGGGGGGGGGGGGGGTGTTACCTGGAAGCCACACAATCCAACCTTCTTTAAGCAAGTCCTGAGCCATCTTCTGGGAGCCACAGTGGTGCTCAGAGGGAGCCACACTTTGATTTCCTGGCTTTGTCCCTTCCAGAGCCGGCGTGTTTCCTGTGCTGAGATCAAGGACCCCTTCCTTTACAAGCCCATCCTGATCGCAGGGGGGATGAGGTTCCTGCAGCAGCTCTCAGGTGTCACTTGCATCCTTGTGTACCTGCAGTCAATATTCAAGAAAACTTCTGTCATTCTGGTGAGCCCTGGGGTTGGGCTTGTGCTCCCATTGCATTGAGCTCAGCGCCAGCTGCCCAAAGCTCCAAGCCCCCTGCAGCCCCATAACCCCAACTTTGGAGCACTTTTTAAAGCACTTGGTTAGCAGCAATAGCCAGTGAGGATGCATGAGGCTGGGGAGCAGGACTGGACCCACTGTTTCCCCACTCTTCTCTGAGTTTCAGATTTTCTGGTCTCTTACTTTAGGAGAACAGCTTTGACAAAGTCATCAGCCAGAGTCAAGACAACACATGTAGGAACCTGCTCGTTCCCCAGCTCCCCCACCTCAGCTTCCCCACTACTTTTGCCATTGCAGAAACCAGAGTATGATGCAGCTCTTGTTGGCTTGGTACGTCTGTTCTCGGTGGCGATCGCTGCCGTGTCAATGGATAAAGCTGGGCGGAAGATTCTTCTTTTTGTATCAGGTACGTCTCGTGTACTGTTGTGCAAGAGAAGCTCTTATTGAAGGACTTGCGGGAGCTCTGCAAACATGCAGGAGTGGAAACTCCTCCGATGCTCAGCCATACAGAACTGGGGCAGGGAGTGAGGAGGTCTCTTTCCTTTGGTGGTGACTCAGCTCAGGCGTTCCCAGGAGATCAGTCATTGGCATAGAGAGGATCACTCACCCATCAGTCCCACTGTGCTGTTGCATCTCTCCACAGCTGGTGTCATGTTGGTCTCAAACCTGACCATGGGGCTCTACATCCACTTTGTGCCAGCTTCTCAGAATGGCACTATTGCCAACAAGACCTTGGTGAGCTCTGCCAACCCTTTTGCTGAGCCGACAAACTACATCACCCTCATCCCCCTTCTGGCAACCATGTTCTTCATAATGGGTAGGTACAGAGAGCGAGAGAGCCTAGGACCCACAGCACAGGGCTGAGTAACAGGCTGGGGGGACTCTTCTTACCCAGTCAGGGTGATATGGAGCAAAGAGATTGGGCTTGGAGGTGGAAGGGAGGCAGTTATCCCTGGAAGACCAAGAGAGACAGCATCTGAAGTCACTCTGAGGGCTGACAGAGCATGAATGGGCAGGAATAAAGATAATGGGGCCCAGGGCAGGATTGCAGAAGGCTCTTCTGCACTCCTCAGCAGGCTTCAAAACTTCAACAGCCTCCCTTTACCCCTCCTCCCTGCAGGTTATGCCATGGGCTGGGGCCCCATTACTTGGCTGCTCATGTCGGAGATCCTCCCTCTGAAAGCCCGTGGGGTGGCCTCGGGCCTCTGTGTCGTCCTGAGCTGGTTGACAGCCTTTGCCCTGACCCAGTCCTTCCTCCTGGCCGTGGTGGGTATTGCCTTGAGAGGGGGTTCTGCAGCCCCTCCTGGCACCTTATGCATCAGCCCACATCTTCTGTCACACGTTCTAGAACACCTTTGGTCTCGAGGTGCCGTTCCTGTTCTTCGCTGTCATCTGTGCCGGGAACATCCTATTCACAGGCTGCTGCATTCCAGAAACCAAAGGCAGGTCCCTGGAACAGATCGAGGCCTTCTTCAGGACTGGACGGAGGTCATTCATGAGGTAGGAGCTGCCATGTGCCAACTGTGCCAGGCTACCAGTCCAATCCACATGCGCAAGGGCAACAAAGAAAACTATTACACTGACGGAGGTAGAGGCTGGAGTTCTCTGTGAAGGCAATAGGAGAGGAATGGGCAGCAATGATCATCTCGCTTTGGATGTAGAAGTTGCCAGCTGGAACTTTACCTTCTCTTCTATTATTGAACACTACCTGTTGTGCTCTGGGCAACAGGTCAACCCAAGGCATGGGACCAGGCTAGAGAAAAGATGTCCTGGAAAATCAAACGTGTGCTGCAGACAAAAAAACACAGAAGTGCTTCATGCAGCAGCCACCAAAGCAGCTTGAGAGCCCGAGGGTTTGGCTGGAACACAGCAGCTGTAGCTGTTCTGGCAAAACTTCATCATGTAGTTGCAAGAATAAAACGGTTTTGCCTCCAACTGTGAGATGTTGCCTTGATTTGCAAAGAAGGGAGCTGCAGGCGGGTGGGATGGGAGAGGCAGATGAGGACTGTGACAAGGGAACCACAACAGCCTGCAGCTTCCCAGATGAGTCTCTCGTACTTAAGGACTGTGAAAGAGGCAGAGCCAGATATTTTGTATTAAAAGCTGCCACATTTTATTGCTCTAAAAACACGCATTACACTAGAAGCCTAAAAAACAAGACCGAATACAGTTCACAAAGAAGATCCAAGACAAAAACAAAGAACAGGAACAGACACACATTCAGCTGTAGTGCAAGTGATTCACTGTAGGAAAGACATGGTGGGTTCTGACAATACTTTGTACTGGGGTGGGTGCTTCCCACCACAGGGTTTTACTCATCCATAAAGAAAGGTGGATGTGCCTCCCATCACAGTTGTGTGTGAAGCCTCCACCTCATTTTAAGATTTCAACTGCATAGTAGCAAATTGTCTTATCCCTTTTTCCTGTGTGTCCTGCAGGACTAAGGACATTAAAATTTATTTAGAGCCTAACCCCAGGTAAAACACAGCTGCAGTAGGTGGTTATGGAAGGAGCAAATGGCCTTGCTGAGTATCACATACAACTTCTCCCAAAAGGGCAGAACAACAGAGGCTGAACTGGGAGGTGATTTGCCCAAGCATTTGTTCAACCTCCTGAAATGCACTTGGCACCCTGAGAGTTGGTGGAGAAGCTTGTGTCCTCTCACTCCCAGAACATTCAGCCCACTGTGACAAGGAAGCACAGGGTAACAGCATGGATTTGAACCAGATCTCAAGATATGCTAGCTACTATTTAGAAGCCCTACAGCAGGAGATGAGAGAAATCCCTGAAGATATGCTTCATCAGAGCATTGATTTAAAGCAGCCTAGGAGAGAGGAACAGATGGGCCAAAATCAAACCCACAAAGAAAATTCAGCATTAGACCCAACCTTTGCTGCTGAGACCCATTTCCAGAAAGTTCAGTCCTGGCTGGAATATGATGTTTCTAAGCATGGTCTGATTATGAGAGGTCTGAAGAGCCTCTGCTTTCCACTGACCCTCTGAAGATCAGGATCTATGGTAGCCCTGTGCTAAAGTGTTCTCTTGCTCACATGGCTATGGACTAGGTCTTGATATCTTCACTCCAATGAAAGCCTTCCCTGAAGACAGTGGATGGGGTTTTTTTCCTAAGTTAAAAAAATGACAAAGATTAACTGAGCTTCCCAGGGCTTGGCCTAAGGAGGAAGTGCCCAAATATGAAATGAGGTTGGACTCTTCATGTTCTGTGAGAACCTCATTGGAGAAGTATTTTCTGAGTGACTCCTTTCTTCAGTATAGAAAGTCTGAGCAGTTTCGCTACAGTTTTTATAGTCTGAGAAATCACAGTGGCTCTTTCCAGAGGTAGAATGGTCTTTTTATTCACTGCACACACAGAGAATCAATTGGTGTTACAAAATCAGCTCCTGCCCAGAGCAGTGAGGTCCTGGCACACAGCAGAAGGTGAGCTTCTACTCTTCAGGCCCAACAGACAGCCCCAGGAAATAGCGGAGTTAACATGCACGAGTGCTGTCAACTTCATGACTGAATGGGACATGGAAGAGTTGCAGCTCTTACCTGGGTAAGAAGTGCACAGCTCACGGTGAACGGTGTAACAGTCCGTTGCCAAGTGCACATGTGCTGCCAGTGTCTTTCCACACTTGGTATCAACAACTCACTACGGTCAATGCATCACCCGCTCTTGAGTTCTCAAGTAACAAAACTTCTGCCCCATCATACCCCAGAGGCCCTTCCAAGACCTGGCAAGCAGAACCTCTTCCATAGAGCCCACTAGCCTGGATGCCATCAGCAGGAATTGGGTTGAACCTGTAAAATCTATCTCTAGAGCAGGCTTTTAACTTCATTTATCCTTACACAGCTCCAAGCACACCAATGGTGTCTCTAAACAAAATTAATAACCACCATGCACTGTGAATAGGCATATAACTACTGTGATGCTACTACTCTAAAGGTCCCTTCTATCTCCACAAAAAATGTCTTGTCCACACGGAGGTCAGACCATCACTAACTGTCACAACAACTCTTCTCACGAGCCCTCCAAGTGACCTAGAGCAGCACCTGCCTGCAACAGGGACTGCTACTGGTCTGCGGCATGAGGACAATCAGATGAAGCCAGCGAGGGTCCTACAAGCTCTGTTGTTCATCACCGCAGATGGAGACCAGGCTGAAAATGTTTCTCTATCACCTCTGCTTTGCTTTTCACCTCCTGTCACTAAAGCTACTGTGGAACTACTCACAAAGCAGTTACTACCAAAGACATGCTCGTAGCTACGTGCATCAGTATGCAACATTCCTCTACTAAGCACTACTTAAGTCCCCAAACCCCCCTGAAATAACAGCAGATGTCTTGTTTGCTAGGCAGGACTCAGCACTCAAACCAGCCAGTAAAGGTTCTGTACATGGAAAAGAGCTCCAAGAGCAGAAAGGCTGTTACCACTAAGGTACCCCACGGGCTGCCATGTATTTCCCCTGCAGCACCCCATTGCTGCAGGCAGCATGACCCAGGTGGGAGGCTGTGCTCCCTAACAGTGGCCCGTGTGTTGCGTGCAGCAGCAGGGATCAGCCCAGAACTTGGGGCTCTGAAATGGCACAGCTTTCATTGAAACAAGCTGCATCTGCGCTAGCGGTGCCTACTCTGCATCCCAGACAAGCTGGTGCCAGAGCAACTATGGTTCAGAAGCCGGGGGGAAAGGGGCTTAGCACAAACTGGTTACCCAGCATCCAGCTGCAGGCGCCCATGTGTGTAAATAAACGCAAGCCATGTTCCTGACTGGTGTAAATCCTCACACCTCCCTGAACTCCAAGGAAGAAACAAGGGCTATCATTAGCTGGCAGCTTAGCCCGGCAATCTCCAGGGACCGCTTTGTTCCTGCTGCAATGCACAGGCTACTTCCATACCCAGCCACCTCTCCAGGCCCTGCCAGGGATGTGCTGGTGTTCCCCTGATGTGAACACACACCATACCCAGAGGAAGGACATGTAATATGGATACTTTTCAACACAATACCGCTCCGAAGCTGCAGAGTGGTTGGTGGACAGACCCATCTGACAGACAGCAGTCAGCCTCCAATAGCATTTCCACACATTTCCAGCACAACCACACTGGTACCCCAGGGATTCAAATGGGACCACAGAGTGTTGGTGGCAGCAGGAGCTCTGCTCCCAGGGCAGAGGATGAAGAACAGGCTGCAGTCCCCACCGCCACTGCTCACCATAGCTGCTACCTGCCACGGCTGCCAAGCAATTACCAACCTCCAGCCCAGCAGTTACAGCCCAGTGTTCCTCCCTTCTCTCTCCCAGGAGAGCGGGAAACCAAACTTTGCCAAGCCAGTGGCCCAGAAGAAAACAAAAGGGGTCAAAAGACAACACACTTTTTAGAAATCTGAGAAATGCTCTGAAGGCTGAAATAGGATTCTACAGTTACAGCATCCCAGCCACAGCAGCCAGGGCTCAGGGTTCAGAGACCCCCCCAGTGGGATGAGACAGTCCTTTGAAGGACAGGAAACGGAGCACTCCTTCCTCCCATGTCCAAAGAGAATGACTCTCAGCAAAATACTTAAATAAACAGAACTAAATTATTCCCCCTTTTCCTAATGACAACAAAAAGTAATCATGTGAAAAAAAAAAAATTAACCTCCACAGAAGAAACCATAAGAAGAAGAGGGGGATCTGAGCTTTGTGAGCAGTTTTGTTCTGCATGTTACAAAGCAAACAGAAAACAGGATGTGAAAAGCACTGATGGACCTGGAATAAAGAAGCAAGACATCCCAGCTATCTAAACTGATAATGGTGCAGACTTTGTATTTGCAAAGGAAGGGTATGCTACCTTCCCATACAAAAACAGCACGATTGATACAGAAAGAACATGAACCCAAAGCAAAGACAACATCAAATATAAGCAAAAAGCAGGTCCCTTGTGGGGAAGGATGGGTCACAGGAGCAGGAGAAGAGAGTGAGAGATAACGGAGCAGAGTTTCAGGCTTACAAGAGAAGGTTGCTCCTTAACACCAACAAAAAACCCCTCTTGGCTCAAGCAATCATACCCTTTCCCAGCTGAGGTAAAGCAAACCTTATTCACCTTCTTCCCTAGGAAAAGAGTGAAGCTTAAGAAAAGCACCCTTATTAAGACAAAGTAATTAAAAGTTGTAATTCAAGTAAATTGCAGTAAGTGTCTCCAGCTCTACGCAGAGGAAGCAGGGACTGTGCTTTGTAGGTACCAGGATCTGCCCCAGCAACTCTGGCAACTCCTCTGCAGGGATGGTTCTGGTCTTTGCATGGTTTTTTGCTGAAAGTCCTTTCCCATGCCTGCCCTAACTGGACCATACTCAATGGAAGAAGACCAAGCTTAAGCATCACTGTGCATCGCCAAACCCTGGGTTCATGTGTTATACCTGGGAAGGACCACACCAGGGAGTGTTAACATAAACATGTAACGTGCAACGCAGGTCACCCCCAGCGTGAAGCCAGCAGCTCCCTGACTCCCATGAGACCAGTGCAGGCAAGGAGATGGTATGTCAGCTCTGTCCCTCCTCACCCCATGCAGAGAGCAGCTCCAAAAGGAACTTGTAGGCATCCTTGCTTGTAGGCATCACTTCAAAGAAAGGCTACCTGTTCAGGCTGGTAACAGCACTCAAAAGCCAACACCTCTGCAGAAAAGAAGAAACACCACCACCACCCCACAAGACAAACAACAAACCACAAAAACCTAAAGAATAGGGAACTGTGAGATATCTGGCTGAGGAGGAGAAAGGGGCCAACACACTGAAGTCTGGATGCTGGTGTGAGAACAGGGCACAGCCTGCCCCAGCCCCTGAGATTTCCAGTCGCTGCAGTGTCCAGGAAAATTGTTGCGTTGCAGAGAGGGGAGTGGGCAGAGGGAAGGGCAGTAGATTTGCACAGCTTCACCATCTCAGTGTCCAGGAGAGATTACCCTGAGCTCGCGTGTTTCAGAGACCCTGTCCCTCCAGGGCCCCTGTGAGCTTCTCTTCATCCATCTGCTTCTGCTGCTGGTGGATCCGAGCGTAGGAAATAGCATCCCCCCTGCAGAGAGAAGGAACAGTGGGTCTCTGGGCTCCAGGTGCCCACCATGGTGGGTACAGCACCCAGCAGATAGGTCTCAAAACTGGGGCCTGGGTCTCACTGTGCTGAGGGATGCTGGGAGTGAAATGAGACTTGCTGCCCCTCTCCAACCCTACCAAAGTGTGTCGCTGCCCCCAGAGCTGGGCCCATCTGCCGAACCGCTGCATAAAGACAGCTGGGACTCACAGGGCAACCCAGACTGAGCTTCCAAGGAAAAGCTCAGAGCTTCAGCAAACCCTAGGACCTTCCTCCCCAGGCCTTAAGAGATGATGGCAGGGAAATGTTCTCTGGCACCATTTACACCTGAAAGCATGGTTAGTATAAGAGGAAAGCACAGCCTTAGCAAGGCAGATGGGGTGAGGGCTGGAGGTCCACCTTCCCCTCCCCTCCACAAGCAGACAGTGCTCTCTTACTTCTTGCCGAGCGCCGACAGGCCATAAAGCACCCCGGTGGCAAACGCAATGGCATTTCCAAAGAGCGTGGTGAGCGTCAGGCTGAGCATGACAGGGAACACAGCCATCCTGCAAGACAGAGCAGCCCTCAAAGCCAGGCTCCGCGCCCCGCAGGATGTAGGGATGCTCATGCATTCTGGCGTCCCATATGCATCCCAACGCAGCTCCCGGGATGACTTCAGCACCACAACGCACCCCAGGAGCATCCTCACCCGCAGTAGAAAGCAGCTTTCTGCCATGGTCGCAGCTTGTCTGCCCTTGCAGAGACGGCGTTCGCGAACTCGATAAACTGGCAGCAAAAGGGGGCTTCACACAGGAACAGGACGAAGGCGTTGAGCCTCCAGACAGAGCAAACCAGAGTTAGTCCTGCCCACATGGCCCAGAGGAGTGTCAGCAGTGGCCCCACCCCCAGAGACCAGCAGCTGCTGGCAGAAGGGAATGGCAGGGCTGGACCGCTCTGCGCCCTCCCCACACTTTGATAATTCCCAAACCCTTGAACCCCAGACATACTTTGGATAAGGATATCCCAGTGTTTACCTAAAAAGGGGTAAAGAAAGAACAAAAGAACTCCTGTCCACTGCCCCAGCAGACAGCTCTGCCCCTTGCTCCATTAACGAAACCTCCCTCCCAGTGGAAAAGAAAAAAGCAACTCTGCTCACATCATGCACACGCCAGCTGCGATGTTCAGGGGGTTGATGGTGACACAGTTCCAGAGACCAGCGAAGGCACAGGCTGGAAAGCAAAGCGGTTTCAGTAACTATAAAGACCAACCCTGTGTGCCCACAGGGGCAGCGAGGCCAGACCCAGCAGGCAGGGCTGGCTGCTCCTCCCAGCTCTGCCCACACCAGACCTTGCAACCACACCAGCGTGATGCTGCTCTCCTGTATCTGGGCATGTTTTGCAAAGTAGGCACTGCTCAGAAGAGCCCTTGCCTTGGCCAGCACCTCCAGGCACTGTACAGACCAGCACAGAAGGCCTCTTGGGAAAGTCTGACGGTCTGAACAGGAGCCCAGGATGCAGGGGAGAGGTTTTCATCCTGGCTCCTCCAGCCAGGTATCCTTTTGCTTCAAGTGCTGGACCTCTTAGCACAACACTTGCGGAGAACAGAGCACTTGCTGTTGCATGGAGTCACATACGCAGCACCCTGGGTTTTATTTGCTGAGGAATTACTGCTTTGTCCTGGGAAGAACAAAGAGGTCCCAGCAGGCACCCATCTCCAAGCAGCACAAGGGAAGTTCAGCAAAAACATGACTTGCAGCACCAAGGCACAAAGACAGTAAATAAAGCAGAGGTGAACCCAGCCTCTGCCACACGCTGCCAGTGCTGTGCTAGAGATGGGCAGAAAAGAGCCAAGTTTGTGTCCACTAATATAAATGGGAGCGGATAAAGCAGAGCCCAAAGTATCCCCCACACTCCCGGCTCTGTCATGCAAGTTGAGGAATGAGGCAGCAGGGCCTGTGCCAAGGCTGCTTGTTCCTTCCTGCCTCATGAAACTTGCAGAGCATCCCCAGCACCCGATATGCCTGTTCCCTGCTCTGACAACAGCAGGTCCTGCTGCTCACTGGGAACCCAGCCTGGGCAGGAGGCAGCAGCACATGACTGGGGCCACAGTGACCACCTTGCACAACCCCAGCTACATTCCATAACCCTTAAATGCTGCTTGCAGACCATCAGCAACACAATGAAGAACAGCAGAGGCCATCTAAGGAATGAGACCAGCCTGGGTTTGGGTATTTCAGATGGCTGTTCCTGTTTTGCTAAGGGGACCCCTGAGCAGAGCTGCTGCGGGCAGAGCTGCTATGGGCAGTCCTGTCCCTCAAAAGCCTGGCACAAGTTTGCAAGGTTTCTTTTCAGCAGTCACTGCTGAATCCTCAAAGTTCCCTTAACATAAATAAGTTCCTTATTTATCAGACTGGAAAACAGAACCGCAGGGCTGTGACAGGAGCGATCTAAGGTCACCCCACAGGTAAGTGATCTCCTGGTTTTAGGAAGCAACCAACCAAAGGTATTTTTAAACAGTGGCCAACAGTCACTGGTAACAGTTTGGTGACCTTAGGGCTTTTCTGCAGAGCAGCGAGTCCTGCAGCAGCCTCGCACATCCTTGTCCTACCAGGACAGGGTTGGCTCCTGCTTCAGTAGCCAAAAGGGGATGGAGCTGCCAAGACAGAGACAAAGCCTCACATTGATTTAAAATCCAGATAACACTCAATGGCACGTAAGCTACAGGAGGCAGACAGTTCTGCCATTTGTTCAACTGCTGACCCATCTCAAATCCCTGAGGAAGCACAGATAACTGGGAGTGAAAATGGAGAAAGAAGAACGCTACCCCCACACACACAAAGGCTCTATTCATTTCAAGCAGCTGGTCACTGTCCTCATCACAATCCTATTTTTGCTCCTAGAGCATTTCACAAAAGCCACAGACTCTCCTTGTCCTATTACAAACAGGAACACAAGGGACTTGGCCAAGGTCTCCAAGCCAGCCTGCGCAAGAGCCAAGAACAGATCCTGAACCTTGTCTTGCTCCTGCTCTGGCCCTTGGACCCTTCTGGCTTCAGCAAGTTGTGTGCTGCAGGTGTTTGCATGTGGTAGACATCTCCCAGTCTCAACAGTGCTAACAAAGTTTCTCTTCCTTTCTATAGGGAATTTTTCCTTCTGTCATAAATAATCCAGCCCTGGAGCAGGACCATGATCCAGTTGCTCAAAATCCTTCTAAATGGATTCTGTTCTTTCATAGCAAGCTCTGAAAAACAGCAGCAAACTCCAGCCTTGCTGTTTTATTAGTTGCCCTTTTTCCAAACTGTCCACCTTCAACGAGGTGAGGCTGAACAAGGAGCGTTTTGAAAAGAGCCATTACTAGCAGAGGGGGTTGGAGGGTTGCTGCTTTCCAAAGCTCCCCATTTACCTGCTTGTAAGAGGAAATGCTGCTGCCTCGTTCTGTGCCTGACAAACCTCATGAAGGGAGACTGTCAGGGCTAAAGGGCAAACTGTCTGTCTGCCCAGATCATCAGTAATCCTGTAGAGAGCCTGGCTCTTCTTTGACTCTACCAACGTCTTGCTAAAGCTGAACCCAGGACACCTAACCACGCAAAGCTCTTAGCTTCCCTTTAAAAGCAAGTCATGAGTTCTCAGAGACGTGAACAAAAAGTTGGGAAAATAATCCAAGTATAATTCAGCTGCTTTGAAACATGCAGACCAAGAAAACAGAAGTCTTCAAAGACTTACACTTGTAAGGCACTTGTGCGCTGCTCTAGCACCAAGCGGGCAACGCCACCAACGCGACCCAACAGCATCCTCCATCCGCACGCGTCCTGAGCTCTGCATGGGCCAGAGACACCCGGAGAGCGCCGAGGCCGCGGCTGCAGCCCCAGGCCGTGGGAAAACGCCTTTGCACTAAACCCGCCCTGGGCCCTGCACTCCAGACATGTCCCAGCTGGGCCCTTGGCCGCCAGCCGGGGCCGGGAGTGCGGGCCCCAGGCAGGGCATGGCAGGGCCGGCGCGTTCCGCCCCGCAAGAGCAGCCCTACCAAATCCTTTCACACCTCCGGGATTTCAGCACCTCAGACATGAAACAGCGAGAGCAGCGTGTGCTTCCCCAGCCTCGCGCAGGGGCTGGAACAAGGCTGCCCAACAGCACCACAGGCTATGGGGTCCACTGCAAAAATGTCCGGGACTTGTGCAGGCAAGTCCTGAGGCAAGAGGCAGAGGCAGGGAAAAAGGGGGATCAGGCAAAACTCCACAGCCAAGGGAATAAATCAGGGCTGACTGTGCTGGCTGGGAAACATTCTTGAAGTTGTAGACCTGAAGCAGAAGAAATTCTCCATCCTGTGCTCTGCAGGAGATCAGACTAAGTGGTCATAACAGTCCCTCCTGCTTTTAAGAGCCATTAATCTCTCCACAGAACACAGCAAACAGCACTACAGGACAGGCTGATCTCTGGCAAAGTTGCAAAGATTCTTTCCCTGGGAAAGTTTTTTTCAGCAGGTAATTCCAAGCACAGCCAACTCACTTCACTGTCTGCTGTCTCCCTTCTTCTCTGTGTCCAACATTAAACCCCTTAAAAACACACAACACAAACCAAGTCCATTATTCACCTTCAAAAAAGCAAACACAGGCAGGCCATCAGCAATCTACAGCAGGAGTAGCAGGAAACATGCTCCAACATTCAGGACAGGAAAGAAAGTCGCAAGAACATACAAACACCCACCAACCACATGGGATGAACTGAATTCAATGGCCCCTCTCCAAGCCCTGCCCCTGCTGTGCCTGGTCAGCTTTATCTGCCCAGAGCGCCAGGGCTCAGCTGCTGCTCCGGCCGAGGGCCGTGCCCAGACAGAAAGCCGCGGGTTCTCAGGACCCCCGGGACGCCCCTTCTGCCGGGGCCAGGCTCGGCACGCACGCAGCACGTCCCTGGGTGCCAGAGAAGCCCACCCCAGGGCTCTTTGTTCTGCCACACACAGCAGAGTCCCCTCTGGAGCAGACACAAACCCGTGACCCCAGAAGGCCGCCTCATGGCGCAAGCGTGACCCTTGCACTGGGCCGCACGGGGCCGGGGATACTTACACAGGCCCCCGGCGACCCCGGCCATCCTGCAGAGCCACCTGTACCACCAGGTCATGCCGTCATCGGCGCGGGGAGCCCCTGGCGCAGGGGCCGCTGCCTGGAACTGCTCATCCTGAGCGCTCATCGCACCCCTGCTCCCGGCGGGTCAGGGCAGCCCTCCCCGAGCCCCCGCAGCGCAGGACACCCCCCGTGACAGCCCCCCCGGGCCCCTAGCGCCAGCCCCGCCACCGCTGAGCCTCTCCCCACACCCCCATGCAGGGCCTGGCCCCGCTGCCCCCCCCCCAGGGCTGACAATGGAGGGTCTCTGCCTGCAGCAGCGATGCCAGCGGCCGGGGAGCTGCCTCCACGTCTGCTGCGTGTTGCATTGTGGGTCCCCCCCTCCGCAGGCAGGGCCCTGATGTCACTTCATTATAAATGCCGGTGGGCAGAGCCCGCCGTGTTCCTGCTCAGCCGCTGCCACGGACCCACGGCAGGGCCTGGGCCCCACTTCTCCTGGGTACCGCCCGGATGCTGTTATCCAGGCGGGCAGCACATGCTCAGGAGGAAGGGAAACATTCTGCCCTGAAGACAAGAGGTTAACGCTCCCCTTAATCTGAATGGAATCAGACTTTCTCCCTAGAAAATGGGAGTAGTACTTTGTAAGCAAGAGATGTCCCAGTAGGCAACATGTTGGTATCCAAACACACAGTACAGGAAAACAGCCTGAATTCTCTTAAATTATAAAAACAGCTGCATTTTTTGCAAATGAATGTTGGACATACAGCCAGTAACCAGAGCCCACCTCTGCAGAGCAGGGATTCTGCAGAGCTGATCTGGAACAATAAATAGCAATGAGACTTGGGATCCTGAACAGAGATGGAAGACAGATCCCATCTGCTAAAAGGTTACAAAAAAGGATTAAGAAAAGGATGTCTTTTCATTAACATCTCCTGTTAGGCAGGAAATGAAGGCCCAGTGCCTGCATCACCCACGCACGGCAGGGGGATAGCTGATATATCCAGCTCCTCAAGGATCTCACTTCAAGAATCTACTTTCTAGCTGTTCCAGGAACAGAATGTAAAATCTGGAGGCTGGCAAGCAAAAAACTGCAGGCGTAACCAGCAAACACACAACTATTAACAAGATAGAAGAAAGGTTTTGCAGTTGTAAAAAGATGTCAGAGAATTCAACTGAAAGCAGGCAGAAGCAGGGTTAGAATTGCCCAGGGAGAATCATTTACTGCATCCAGCACAAAGAACAAGGGCAGATGTGTCCATCAGGCCTGAGCTGCAGAAAATACCCCTTAAGCTGTATACTGTGGTTTTGAGGAGGGCGAGAGATCTGGACCAAAGCATGGTCCACTGTTCAAGAACATTAAATAAGTTCAACCTAAAAATGTATTTAAATCAAATGAGTATTTGCCACTACTCTAAAATACTTCTTCCTGCTATAACTTGTATCACACAGTCTCAACCATCTCTCATTGCACAGTTCCTCTGAGATGAAGATACAAGCAGATTATAGTATATATATAGTATAGATAAACTATACATATATTATATACTATATGTATAGTATACAGTAGCACAGCTACCGTCCTTACCCGAGTAATGTTTTGGCACCAAACCCATCATTAAGAGACAGAACTCTTTTATTTTCCCATTGAAAAGTACTGGTATCACTATCAGATATATAGTAGTAAAACCACAGAAGTGTGGGTGGCTAGGGAGGGACCTCTGATTGTCATTTAGTCCTCCCATATAAAGCCAACTGTCAGCAGGGCCTGACCAGGTCAGCAGCATCTGACCAGGTCTTGCCAACTCCTGAAAACATTTCAGCTTTCCGAGTGACCTGTCCTAGTGCTGTGCTCCCCCCTCCTGGGCAAAGAAACTCTCTTGCCCTCACATGGCTCTAGTCTTCTTGTGCTAGCAGCTCATCCTCACACACATCTCTGCCTTTATAACATTCCAGAATTTCAAGAGGTCTCAGTTTTAAGGGGCATTTAAATTGCAGAAGAGTGAACTTAAAGACTAAACCATAATCACAACTACTTGTATAGAGGTTTGCAATGGGACACTAAGCCACCACGAAATTAAATTACTATCCTAAAAGGTCATGGCATGTTACAGAAGCAGAAACCCAAGACTTCAGTGTCCAAGTCACTGACTGCAGACATGTAAACTGCATTAATACCAACAAATATGTACAGAAAATCCATATGAGGACTGGTTGCTAAATATTTGGTAGTTACATGTCCTTTGCACAATCTTTATAATTATTAACTGAGATCCCAAAGGAGTCAGAAGGTATTATTGCTCTTAATAAATGGGGAAGCAGTTGCGAAAAGATTAAAAGATTCATGTGACCTCAAACAGTGGACAGGCAGCAGTGATTAACTGGACCATGGCCTTTCTCAGTGCAGTGGCCCCAGATCCTTTTATTTTGGCTCAATAGCATAATATTCAGCCCAGAAATTGATTTGATGATCCTTAACATTTTCATGGAATTCAATTTCAGCTTGGCTTCCTGTTGATTGCCAGAAGAACTGTTGTTTCCCATGGAACACCATCGTCTTCATGGTGCTAACATCACGGACCTGCATAAATGAAGACCAAACCACTATAGCAGCAGCCTACCCGTGAAGTACCAAAAGAATACTGGAGGGCTTGCAAATTGGTCACTCAGGAGGAAAAGCTGCCCCAAACAAAGGTTAGAAGAAATATTGTAGACATCAGTAATACTCATTCACATCTATGTTTGTGTATGAGATTAGACTGACACTTCAGGATTTATGATTGAACTTTGCATCTGGATGGAAATCTCTATTGAGGACATGGATCCATTCCCATCACATCATCCCCTTTAGGTTTCTGACTCACCAAGATGTAATTAAAATGTGTTTGGTTGCTCTCATTGCCCAGGTCAATGTATAGGGCACGGATAGCTATGCGATGCCGAGGAGCCATATTGATGAAGGTCCGACACACAACTTCTTGCCTTTGATCGGGCAATTGCACAGGATTTACTATTTCACCATGGGGACCAAACAGTTGCTTATCACAGTCTAAGAGAGGGAAAGGGAGCAGAGAATAAAATTAGAGGAGTGACCAGCATCTCCAAGAAAGAAATAATTTAAATTAAACACAGGCAGAGACAGGACAAGGCCTTGGGTGATATGATTTAGCGTAAGGTGTCCCTGCCCACAGCAGGGGGGTTGGAACTAGATGATCTTAAGGTCCTTTCCAACCCTAACAATTCTATAATTCTATGATTCTAAGTTTCTCTATGGATTTTAATCTGGGAACCTCAAAGCACCAGCGAACACCTGCAGGGAGCTTGCTTTTAAAACAGAGGGGTAGTCCACAAGTAATATTAATTCCAACACTCCTTAAGAAGGGGCTTATTAGCTGCTAAAAATGAAGCATGGGTTCCACAGATTTCCATAGGCAACCATGATCTGTGGAATTCTATGGGCTTTGTTGTGGGTGCCTTAGCAATAGCAAAGCTTTCAGTAAGTACCTTGATAATATTTTTTAGTTGCAGTTCTGCTGTTGTACTGAAGAATGACCCCATTTCCTGGCAGCAAAACACGCTGTTTCACGATCAGTGTATTCGTTCTGGAATTTATCAGTGAGAAAGTAAGCTTCCTGCAGCCGGTCCGCCACATCATTCGCCCAGAGAACAGCACTACCTCACCTGAAATGGATGAGCACAGGGACTAGAAATGCTTTTCCTTTAAGCAAAAGGTCACAACCTGCCTTATATAGGTCTGGAACCAAGGACTTTCTGTATCTTGTCCCTGTCTTATCAATGCTTGTCATTAAAACAGTCCAGGTAACTAATTAACTGTACTGATTCCAGCAAGAGGGTATATTGCAGAGAGTTTGTAACAGGCCAAAAGCAAGTAGCTTCTTTAACCTCATAAACTCCTTTCATCAAGACGACAGACAAGAAACTAGTACATATGGGGAGGACAGGCAACATCTCCACTTAGTCCCATTTGCCAATGACTTGATTGGACAGAAAAACTTGTAAAATGGTTTCAGAGATTATACAGGCTCCAAGGCAGCAAAAGCACATGAGCAGAAGAGGTGCAGGTTTCCCAAAGGACCAGGCTAGTCCCCAGCACGCCCAGGCAGTACCTGCACTGCAGTTGAGGGAGCTCTCCAAGACATGTACTGTTATCTCCTCCCTGAGAGGACGTCCAATGGCCACAGTGCAGTCACTGCTCGCTACACCCGTCATGTTGATGATCCCGCTGGTATTAAGAAAGAGCTTCCCACAGACACCTATACAGAGAAACAGATGAGAAACACAACCAGAAGAAACTACAGCTGCTGAAAAAGAGCCATCATTCCCTTCAAGCTGCAATGAACAGACAAGTGCACACATTCTGGGTAAAGCACAGGAAGAGTCAGCTGCTGCCCCAGGGAGTCCCATGTCAGAAGAGTTTTGGGAAGACCATGGGAGGAAGTCATTGCTCCTAGCTCAGATAACACAGACATATGGCATGCTGGAAGGAGCAGCATGTTGCTCCTTCTAAGTAGAACTCCCTCCTGCTCTCCTGTCCCTGTACAGCAGTAGGGTCACCACAACCCAGCTGCACGCAGCAAGCACCTATCTCTACCTCCTCACCTTCATGGGTCTTAGTTTGTCCCCGTGGCACAGCAGATGGAAGAAGGTCCCGGTCCTTGTATCTTGCTTCCTTGGCAGACACAGCTGTGGTCAGATGTGTGGCTGGTGTCACTGTCTGTAGTTGTGCTCCATGGGACCCAGTCTCCACCACTGGCTCAGGACAGGGCCCTGTGGAACAGCCACGTACCACAATGGCCTTGGGGAAGTGCCTGCAGAAGATGGGCTTCACATGCTTACGGGTTAGCAGGTTGAGGCAGAAATCCTGCCGTGTCTGAATGCCATTCCCACATGAAGTTGAACACTGCAAAGGAAGAAGCCCACAGGCCTTTATAAATGTGTTTCAGTTGGTATTTATATATAAATGCATTTATTGGCTCAGGCACGACTGGGGAGGAGTGGGGAGGAAGCTGATCACTGATGCTGTTTTGTCTCTTGCTCTTTCAGTGCTCTAGTTTCATCAGCTATAAGATGGTCCACCTCCCAGGGGATTTTCCAAACTAGATCTTTGAATTGCAGAACCACTTCCTAAAAAGTCTGAAAATACCTGCATTCCAGAAGAAAAAAAAAACAAGGACTGTTTTCAAACTGCAGCCAAAACCTTATCTGAGAAAGGTGGGAAGCAGACCCTACAACTGCTAAACACGGGGCAGTGGAAAGGATGGAAAACATCCCTAGAAACAGTTTAGCATTTGTTGGGGAAGTAAGTATAAAAGGCAGAAGTGGTATTTGTCCCCTGCACGCTTTAGGGAGGCAAACTGAACAGGAGCCCATACCTCTGACCAATCACTGAAGCTCCATTCATACGAGCACATTCGGATGACACAGGGGACGCTGGCAAGAGGCTTCTCTGCCACAGGACACAAACGCTCCTCCAGCAAAACCTCCTTGCCCTGGTGAATCTGCACACAGGTGACCAGCTGAACAGCTAAGCCAAGCCCACAGCTGGAGGAACAGGGCCCAGCTGGGGTTACCTTCCATCTGACAGAGGACATGGAGGAGGGTGAGTTAGTGATGAATTCCCCATCCTCTACTCTCTCTCGCTGTAGAAAATGCACTACAACTCCCTCCTCCTTCCCTCTTTTGCTCCTCAGCAGCTTTCTTTATCCCTCCATCCCAGACACTTCGCCGTCTACGAATGCAGCCTCTGAAACATGGCTGGGCAACCCAGAGCAGGTTTGGAGCTGGACCCAGATGGAGGGCACTCACATTTTGCAAGAAGCCCATGGACTCAAAGTACACATTGAGTCTTATTTCTCTGTCCCTTACAGTCTTCCCCAGGGTGACATACACAGGCTTAACTGCAAAAACAATCTTATATCTGTCCAAAACACACACCACTTAGCAGTCAGATCAGAAACCAACCCAGGGTATTTCACTCTGGGAGTGGCATCCTGTATTGCACATAAAAATAAGCTCAGATGCCAGTGGCTTTCCAGTTCCACAGCAGAGGGGCTGAGCAAGCTCTGCCTCATTTATCAACCCTGAGTCATAGCCTAGATCACAACATACATATTCAGAGACAACCACTTCTCTCCATTTCATGCCCTTGTGGCTCGTGGCCATTTTGACTTTGGAGGACACAGCTCCAAATTACAGGGTTCCTGTTCTTCTGGGTGATGGAAACCATCACCCTGGGTGTCTACTAAAATCTCTTCTGCCTTCTCCACAGTCTCTCTTGCATGGTAGGGGACTTAGTGCATCAGATCTTACACAGCATGAGCCCATTTTGTAATGCCATCTGGGAATAACACAGCCATCACTGATACCTCCACCTGCCACCCATCTTCACTGGTTTTAAAATCCAACTAGCTCATGGAAGTACAACTGGAACTCTGCTAACACACACATACACACTGGCTCATGTCTGAGAGACCAGCAGTCACCCCACTGACTGCAGTTTGCAGTACCATACATCCTGAGGAAAGTGCAAACAATTTCCTTCAGCTCTCAGAGCAGCTATTCCAGATTCTTCAAACATCTAATCCTAGCTATTTTCCTTGATGCTATGTGGAAACTGTACAGCTGGCAAATGTGTCACACCACCACCTTTTGCAGTTATGGATTAGTTCCTACTTCCCTAGGGTAATAAGGGATCAAGAGGTTTTCAGTTTTAACCCAGACTCAAACTCCAAAGACTTCACTTGGTTCTGCCTGAGAATGTACTAGCCCACAAGACTATCAGTTGCTGAGTTTGGTTCAGTGTTACTGTTTCTGCAGCTAGCTGTGCTTTCAAACCAGTGGGAGAGGAAGATAACATCCTCAGAGTAGTTTAACCCTTCCTTTACTGTGTATCTGGAGATAGAGAGAGGAAGGAATGTCCTCTCACTGGTCTGTTGTCCCCTGGTAACTGTTTTACCTGGGTGGGCAGGGACTAAGATCACAGACTTCCATCCTGCTTTCCGGCTTTGGCACTGGATGACAGTTTTCTTCTCTGGTTTCTTCTTTGGTGTCAAAAGCTACACATACATACTGTAGCCGAGTCTTACCTAGAATGGGAAGTGATCTTACTGCATGGCATGCATGCAAGGGTTGCATCTGTGTGTACAAAACAAACACACTCTGCCCAAGCTCCAGGCACACTTACTGCACTCATCTCCCCCAACTCTGAAGCGCAGCAGCAGCCAGCCAGCCCCCTTAAACTATTCCCTGTTTGAGCCAGGCCCCCTTGCCTCTTACAGACTAAAAAAAAAAAAAACAAACAAACTGTAAGCTACACATGCTCTTAAAACTGTAGAGGAGCAAAGACAATGTCCCTGAGGTTCCTAGGCACTGAGCTCACGACTACAGGTGACTAACATTTCCCTGCAGCACTGAAAGATCTCACCTCTACCACAGGAGACGGAACACTCTCCAGCTAGAGGGCTCCAGACATACACAGTCTGATTTTCCAGTTGGATATGCCCAAGTGACTCCAAAGTCTGAAGTACGTGTGCATCTTCCTCCTCAAAACAAAGCAAAAAGGACCCAGACTGACACTGGCACCTGCTTTCCACACCAGTCCTGATCTAATGAAGCTGGAAGATACCTCCAGATCAAGCCTACAACATATTTCCTATCACTGAAGAAAGAGGAACATTTAAGCACTTTCTCAATTTCTGCAGAACATATACGGATCAGCAATAGCTAAGGACATCCAACAGCCACGACCCCTCCTAACTCACACTACCTGAAGAGAGACACCTGAGACTGGAGATGCCTAAAGCAGTATCTTCCCCATCTGTAAATGTAAACCTGTCAGTGGCTCCCCAGTATGGATGTGGACCAGTGATCCTGTGGTGAGAAGCCCTCTTCCCTGCCAGCAATCCTCCCTGCCATGTCAGAACCTGTTTGCCAATGAGGTATTTCCTAGTTGACCAGGAGTTATTTCTGTTTCTGGTTTTGCTGGACTCTGAGAAGAAAAATGAAAAAGGAACAGCTGACTTAAACAAACCACCAGTATGAACTGATGAGTTCAGGAGCATAAATTAAGAGGGACAGATTTGTCTAGAGTGACAGGATGAACCTTTAACTAGGCAGACCAACCTTGGTGTAAACCACCCTCCCAGACTCCAGCAGTAAGGTGGTGGCTCTTAACTGGTAAGTCTCCTGCGGATCACAAGTGCAAAGCTACCAGTGAGACTCCTGAAATAAGCCAAGCCAGTAAACTCACTTTGCCCCAGCCTAAAGGGCAGACATTAACCACACACGGCACAATGGAGAGGGGTTTTTCTTCTGCTGGGCACAAGCTGTCATCCACAACAGTCTCCAATCCACCACGAAACTGAACACAGGTCAGATTCTGCTGGGCAGCTCCAGTTCCACAGGCAGCAGAGCATTCACCTATCTGAGACATCTTCCACCTAAATGGGAAGTAATTGTATCACCTGATTTCTCTTCTGATCATGAAGGTTTATTACTCTCACTGCTGATTACAGAAGTGACCCATACAGAGTATTGAGCTTCTCTATTTCAACAGCCTTGCCCAGATGTGACTGAGAAGACAGCTGCTGGAAATTTAAATCCTTGTACTAACAGCTCTCTAGGACTAAAAGCACCTAAAAGCTGAAGAGCTGGAGTTCACAGTGTAATCACTTTTTGTTAAAAACTAGAATGTATGAGATTAGTGTCTGGGCAGGTGCGGCTCTCAGTCCTCTTTCCAGTCTAAAGAACACAAAAGTCACCTGCAGGGTAAGATCAAATCTTTGTTGGCATGAACTTGGAAAGGATGTGAGCAGACATCAAAGCATTTTCATTAGCAGACTACTGTAAAATATTGGAAAGACAATCTCCCATTGATTCAGCTGACATCTCCATTACCTCATGGGATCAGGAAAGACAGAAAGTGGTTGGGATCTGCTACACCATTATAACCGGGAAGAAATTACTTCATACTTCTCTTTTTTTTTTTAAACACCTTGCCCAATGCAAATGACACTGCAGGGACTGGGTTAGTGGGCACTGAAAGGACAAGCTAAGGAGGAATTTAGCAGAGCTTCCAAGACACCAACCTGTACAGGCATGGCTCCATGACACAGGGCTTGTGCTCTGGAAGTGGCCGCAGGAGCTCCAGACACCATTGCTCCTCTGTGATTTCATTCTTTGCCTGGTCAAAGCACACATGATCCACAGGTTGCATCCCTTGGACACAAAAGGAAAAGAAAAGGAAGTTATAAACAAATTGAACAGTTTACCTCCTTATGCTAGGGAGATGCAGTACTTTCACTTTACTCAAATCATCTGTACGAAAATGGTGTATTTGGGAATACACTTTCCATAAACACACAAACCCTTGCTTTCTGACAGAACTTTTTCTCAAGACTTTCCAAAATGAACACCCAAAAGATGAGAAGTTTGATGGATAATCCACCACCAAAATGGAAATGTTGCTCTCAACTGGCCATTTGCAAGAACAAGAATATCAATCCTAATTTTGTCCAAATAACTTCCAATGATCTTGGATGTCCGACTGATGAGGGGCAGCTTGCTGACAATAAGCTCTAGCAGTCAGCCATCTGTAAATGACATTCTGTAGAACTAATCATGTCATATCATCAGAGCTGTGCCAATGTCCTCAGTAATCAATAGCCAAACCTAGACTAGAAGTACTGCAAGAAAAGCTGCCGACTTGCAGTGCCTGTGGCATGCAAGAAACAATATTCATAAACTACAGGTATAGACAAGATTTCTAACAAAATTGAAGCCAACAGGTAAAGCAAGTGAAAATCCAAATTCAAATTACAAGCAGAGTTGGAAAGAGTCTCCTTTACAGTGAATGAGCTAACCACTCAGAGACAGGCATTCCTGAGCCTCAGAAAGCATGACCCTAAGACGCAATGCCAAAAATCAATCAGCAGTGTTATATTTTCACTACCCTCATTTTCAAGTAACGTCTCTTTCAGCTCCCAGGATGCAATTTCAGCTTGAATTCTCAACTTTGTGTTAAGTCCCAGCCTTCTCATTTTTTGGTTTGTGACTGCATTAGCTTGGGGGTCCTAAAGCATTTTGAGTTCTTTACTTCAAGGTTTCAGCAATCAGTTCAACTGGGAAATGTGCTGGAGAAAACCTCTCCAGATATAACTAGTCCTATAGGTTGACTTCCAGAAGTATTCATTACTGTATTTTCTTAATCCTTATCATAAAATCCTTAGAGGCTTGCCAGTATCACATGTATTAGCCAATAAACAAGATGTCAGACCATCTACCAGAGTGATCTGCTACAATCTGCATTACGATTTCTTCAGGGGGACAGAAAGGATTAGCCATGGCACAGGAACATAATTCTAAGAAGGAAGTTTCATAATTAGCTCTGAGGTTTTAGGTAGACACTAGATGCCACTTTAGTCTCAGGCTTTTGATGTTCAGCCAACTTCAAACTACAGTCTTCAACAGCTTTGAAAAACCTGAGAAAATTATTTCGGCTCTAAACAAAAAGTTTGGTTAAAACCTATTTAAAAATCCTCATCCTGATCAAACATTTGCCCTATCATTTTGATGATTCAGCTCACTTGCTGATTTGCTAATTCAATTCAAAAGCTGCCTCACTCTTTTCTTTGGTCCAGTTTAACACTGGCAACCACAGCCCACTTTCAACAATTTGCTTTTAAATTCAGTTCAGTTGTTTAGTAAGTTCTAACCAAGTATCTATTGCTAATGACACATTTCTTTCAGAGCTCAGGAAAGCCCATGGAGTAAAAGTCTTGGCTTGCTGGTAGGCACCCAACAAGCAGCCTGCCCACATCTCCACACAAAATAAAGTACTGCTGCCTCACCTTCCCCACAGGTTACTGAACATGGACCCTGCTGAGGAATCCATATATACATCAGATTCTCTCTTGGGACAAAGTAGCTGAAGGTAATGTCTGGGTTGGTGGCATTGCCATATTCCTTTCCATACCTTCGATAGACCTGGTGAAGAAAAAGGTCATGGTCAATGCACAAATCAACTCAGACTCATTTCTTCAGATGGAGATAACAGAAGCTAGTCCCCCTTTTTTCCATCCAAGCCTGAGCTTCCATGCTATGACTCTCAATTCTTGTCGGATGCAGTCAGAGCCTCACCCTGTGATTTCTGTGCGCAGGGCAGAGACTAGACCAAGCAAGATGTTTAACTCAGTGTGCTTTTCCTCACACCTCCATCCCCCAAGACCTGCAGAAAGCCAGTAGGCAGACAACCCTCAACTTTTCCCAAGAGCTGTTCACTCCTAGTGAACAGTATCTCCATTGGCCTTAGACACCTGGAACCTACTAAATCTGGATTCTACACTGCAGCAGAACTACAAAACCCCACTCAGTTCCGACTGACCCCTTTACAACACTGCAATTTTAACTTACCTGTATCTCGATAGCTACCTTCGTTGGCCCATCCACATGGACTTCCTCCAGACTTGGCAGGTTGTCCTTAGTGAGAAAAACTTTGTATTTGATCTGGTTATCCTCCAAAACTGATGGATAGGTGACATTCAGTGAGATTTTGCCTTTTCCAGCAACCACATACTCTCCTTTAACCTTCACAGCTAGAACAGCAAAAGCAGCAGTGAAATTAAGAGATATGATATGATCACCAGGATCCCCATGTGCTGGCAGCTACAGACTGCCCATTTGTTAGAAACCAGTTGGATCCAAGTGGGGCATCCCAAAGAGCAGGGCTTTTACCATTTCCCACTGGAGAACATCCCACAAACAAACTGCATCATCAAGAACTTTCCTCCCAGATTCAATTTTCTTGGTTTTCAAGCTTCTTTTAGTCCTGCCTTCAGATCCTCTTTTCTTTTTCATTCAACTCACCCAAATGTGTGAAGAGGGGTCTCTGATTGGTAACATGGACCAAGGTGGTATTATACGGCAGAGACAGAAATGTAACATACTCTGGAAGGATGGAAAGAAAGAAGATACAGTCACCTTCCATGACTGTACCTCTGTTAAGAAGGTTCGGGATTACAGATCAACCCCTTTTCACCTTACTGGCACATTATCCATTGGAGAACAAGCCTTACAGGCAGCAACAAAGCTGAATTGCGGACAGGGGTTTTATAGCTAAATTCACAGTGATGGCAAATCCAGCAAATTCTGTGTCCTGTCCTCATCTTTATTTTGCTCTATGTTCTCGGCTGGTATCTATATGTCATATTGCAAGAGCCAGATCAGTTACCAAATGAACGTTTAACATCTCAGGAAGCATCTGACACAGCCCCCAGCTCCCAGTAATATGATGGACTCCCCAAATGGCTACAGTTCTGATCCATGTCCAGAAAAAGTCACGCTGCCTACACAACAGCTCCCAGCTACAGATCTTAGCTGCCTTCTCTGTTGACTACCCAAACTCCACCGCCATGTACTCCACAAAACAACACCAAGCAGAAGCAGGAACAAGAAGTCACAAAGATTATGAACACTGAATATGCATGCAAATATGCAGCATATAAACAGCACCATAATGCTGAGCCTGAGGGTGAGGACTACACACCTTTAGCTTTTCCTTCTGTGTAAGATCCACTCACTTTGGTGCAAGTGGTATTATCACCCCCACAGACCTTGCAAGAGTCCATTGTCTTTCCAGAGTCCATCTCGCCATCACACCCGAATGCCTGAGCAAAGAGGACAGTCTGTCAAGACTTGCCTATTCTGAGAAGAAAACAAGTGAATTAAAGCAATGTTGCCTGAACTCCTGAAACTGCCTAACTGCCTTTTTCATTTGTAATTCGAATTTAAGATGACAACATAGACAAAGATGCATTTGTACCTAGATCTAGACAGCAGTACACAAAGCCAAGGACTGGAAAGTCTCAGCTGACAGCATATTGAGTCTCATAATTGTGTGACATTTTCTTTCCTGTAAGAAGCAGCTCAGAAAGATTTCTCCTGTGACCTAGAACAAAGACTCTGCACTCCCTCTCTCTTCTTTAGCTCCCCAAAACCCAAATCCAAATCTAGCTCACATCCTTCAGCCTGGCCTTCAATCCTATGGAGCTCAGAAAAGAGATTCTATCCCCGTTCCAACGAACAAGCCTGATTTACACAAAGCTACAGGAAGATCTCAGCAGGCTTAGCAGCAAAATATGTGCAGCTGCTGAATTTATGCTAGAGGCACTGATCCCAGGCTTTGGATGCTGCCATAACATACACATTTATCACCATTACAAATAGACCAGCAGAAATCAGACTAGGCAATGACTACACCCTCTGCTGTTCACTAGGTGGAAATGCATAGCAAAACATTGGGAGCACCAGGATCATGAGAAAAACCTAGGAGTTTAAAAGTGTGCTCTGGGAATGTAAACAAAGGCCAAAAAACATGTAATTGGGTCAGCACTGAGCAGTTACTAAACTGCAGCCAGCACAGGGGAGTTACATTCAAGTTTATCATGAAAAAATGCCCTTCCTCACAGCAAATCCAGAAAGAAGTTTTACTTCAGTTTTGATTAGGGATACTGCAACAATCACCTTGTCAACTTGTGATTCCCAGGTTTTACTCCTCACTTTGGCTCTGACATAGTACGTTCAAATCATGGAACTTCTCTCCAACAGAGTCAACATTTTATAAGGGTATTTATACCACACAAACTGAACAGCTAATTTTGTCTCCCCAACCAGTGCATAAACCAATTGCCTCTTGGCTTAGAGATGAACAGCCTTATGTAGTTACTGCATAATTAGAAGAATGTCTTATCTAGAGGTCATTGGCATTGGATGCATAGACAGAGCAGTAGATTTCCAACCCTAACCATTATGATTTGCTGGAGTCCATCCAGTAAGCTTAGAACAAAACTCTTTGTTGTTTGGGGGACAGTTTTTTCCCATTCTCCTAGTAAACTGCCTCCTTTGGTGCAGATTACATGCCAGAGGTTCACCTGGATTCCCCAGGCACTTACTCTGCAGCTTCCCATTACGCACAGATTGAAAGCCCAGTGGTCCTTGGAGTCATCCTGCTCACATCTGGTTCCATCTATGAAACTGTCTCCACGGCTTACCATGAATTCGTTTTCAACAGCCCTGCACATGTGTTTGCATAACATGTCCCCTGGAGGAGGCAGACAGAAGGAGTTTCTCGTTCAGAAAGGCACGTGGCTGACCATCAAGCAATGGGAGGAAGACAAAACCATCTGACAGGAAGAGCACCCAGTTTTCATGTGAAAACTAAATCAGTGAAATGGCCTTCTGAATTCAAAGTACACACAGGTTCATGAGCACTCTGCTTCACAAAGGCGCCACGTTTTTTCTGTCTTTCCTTACCTTTGGCAAAGCCAACAGCAGAAGTCCAGGTATAAAAGGATGGTGCTCCTACAGCGAGATACAGTGGCTCTGAATTTGTTGCCGCGCACTGTTCAGCCATAAAGTCTTGCTGAGTCATCAAACAGGCCTAGATCCCAGACAGAATGGTACAGGTCAGGAGAAAGTTACTGAGCACAGAATCCCAAGCAGCATTTTACCCACTCGCTAAAGGTGGAAAGAAGTGTAAGTAAAACACCAGAACAACTGCAAATAAAGAAAACCGCTTTAAAGGGAGGTGTGGGATACACAGAAAATTATCTCTGGAAGCTGGCATCTATTTATTTTTCATAAATAGAAAAGATAGACAGGAACAATGTAAGAATGTCCCGCTGAAAAAAACTGCCACGTGCGTCACTATTTTCTCAGTGCCTGTCCTGCTATGAGGGTACAGAGGAAATGTTTCATTACACACGAACAATAATACTATCTTCAGACACAGTGGAACAAATACCTCTCCTGTTGTCAGATGGATGGAGGCTGTATGACAGACCTTTAGTCCTCTTCCCAGAGCAGTCAGCTGTGAGAAGTAGTCCCAAACCATGCACCTCTCAAACTGTTAAATGGAATTAAGAAAAACACTTGGAAGATGTGATGAGCTCCATTACCTGAGTATTGCACATCTCCACTTGCATGCTGGCACCAGGGCATTCCTGCCCTCCAAAAGCAGGCCTGGAAATAATAGAAGAACTCCTCAACAGAGGCAGGTTTGTCCCAAGCAAAAACAAGTCTCAGACCCCAGGGTCCTGAATTAGCCAAAAGGCACTGCAAACTCCCCATCTCTGACCTGGGGTTGTTACAGAACCGTTGCCTTATCACAACTCCACCTCCACAACTGCGGGAGCAGGAGGAGAAGGGGCTCCAGCCAGACCACTGCCCATGGACTACAGCTGCAGGGTTCAGTTCTTCCAGAGATCTGCACTGTCCCTTGGAGCACCACTAAGACCAAGAATAAACAAAACTGTCAGCAGCACCATAGCGAACCCAGCAGGGCTGGGATCTCAAGGGTGGCACATCTGGCAGGCCAGACTAAAAGAGAATCCCAAAATGAAAGAGGCACCTTCTCACAAGAGGCTAGAAGAATCCCATTCCTAATTATGGTCTAACATGAGACTGGGGCTAAAACAAAGAGCTGATAGGTCATTTCAAGTAGAAAGCAAAGCCTTGGAGAACAATTCAGTTACCAAGCTATAGAACTGTAAAACAACTCCAGAGCTACCAGGTGGAAACACCATGATCAGCCGGTACCAGTTTATGACTGGCATGTCTGGCCTTAGCTCCCTGCCCAAAGGGCAGTGAGTGCCATGCACCTTCCAGCCACCAACGTCTTGCTGTCTGGTGAGCTCCATAGCATCACAGCCACTTCTGATCAACAGCCTCTTTACCTTATTGATTCCACACTCCGTACCATCCAAGAGAGGCACAAGAAGCCGAGTACAGCTGGATTTGTCTGCTGGTTGTACATGGCATGAGAGAACTTCACATATGTCCTGATGTGACAAGAAAATCAGCAAGTTCGGGAAGATATCAACACAACAGTCCCAAAAGCTGCTCCATTTAAGTTCTGCATGTCCTGGATGTTTGCTTTCCCCACAGCTACCCAGCAATGCAAGCAAGTTCCCTCATTTCTCCTGCTATTGGGCAAAAGTTGTGGGCATGATAAGACCATCACTGCCAGCTGCAATGTTGAAGCAATTAAAGTTTCACCCACCTTAGTGTTTCCTCATTAACAAGACATGCCCAGATGGCAGCTATGGCCATGCTGCATCTCCCAGACATGGAGACTTGGGCAAAGGAAGGAAGCTGAAGAAATCCAATGCACATGAGCTCCCCAAGACAGGGCCCTGGGTAGGTGCACTGATCACCAGCACCACCAGGCCCGTTTTTGGACAGAAGGCTCTGGGTACTGTGCAAACTTTAAGGGAGACTTTTGTGGACAAAGAAGGTGATGAAGAGAAGCATTTTAAAAGCCTTTGAAGGTTCATTCTTAGCCAAGATATGTGTGGCAGGAAAGCACCTTCCATCCTTTATAACAAAAATGTCCCCAGCTCCCCTTTTCCCAGATCTTGGCTCCAGATCATTTCCCTGGTGCCCCTAGCAAGACAGACAAACTTTCTACCTACAACATTGCTGTCAGCAAAGGTGCATGCTGTGGCAACAGTCCCAAAGGCTATTTTACATTGCTCATCCGCTCCATAGTACAAACCAGGCTTCCATCCAGGAATGCTGCCGTCCATGTCCGGCAGGTCATTTAAGCAGTCTGTTTGGCCTGTACTGATAGAAATATAAGAAATGTCATTTTCCCAGCTGCGGGCAGTAAGGACAATGACATGTTTGCAAACTTGTGCTGAGCTTCATTCTGGGAGTTGGCTGTTGCTTTGCCAGACAACACATGCTTCCTGTGGGCTGAGATGGATTTAGTTGCAGCAGCTGCCTGGAGATGCTCACAGTTCCCTGCTGCTGAAGTTATAACAGAAACCCATTCCTACCCTTCACGCAGCCAGCTCGCAGCCCACACCCCAACAGTGCTTCTTTCAACCTAGATGCTCTCACATTTGAAATAAAACTTCCAGGCTGAGCTAGTGTCTGAGAGTCCAACACAGCCCAGGCATGTTAGTGACTAACCAAAGTCATTTCCATCTACTTGAAGCAGAAACCAGGTTTAACCTCAGGGACAGACACAAGTGCTAAGAAATAAACAACCCCCCAGCTTTTCAATGTTCTTCATTTTCCAAGAGTTTTATTTTGACCCTTGACTCTCCCTGCTCTCTCCTAAGATCCCAGCACAAGGAACCGCTCCCACACAGGCACGCAGAACTCTACCATTCCCTCACCTGATAAGGGCCAGGAGCTCTTCTCGACTGCACTGAGACCAGGTGAGGTCGATGCTGTTGTGGTTTCCTGCTGAACCCATGATGTAACCGCTGCTGCTGCACCGATTCCCCTCACCATCGTGGGGGATTCCAAGACTGTAACAGAAGCAGCACAGTGCCCTGAGAAGAAGCGCAAGGGCTGAGCTCCCTTAGAGCCTTTCTTCTCTAAGCAAGGACTGAGCTCCCTCTGCAGCCTTTCCTTCTTCTGTCATCACAAAGGTTTTTTCTCTGCAGCTTTCAATTGTCACAGAGCATGCAGGAATGCAAGAAATGCAAGGAATTCTTTCCAAAAGTTTTGAATACTCTATGGGAAGTCCCTTGTAACACCAAGAGATCTTCTTCCTTCTTCAGAATCCCTTAAATTGGGGAACGTTTTTATCTGAATAAAACATACTGTGCTGCTCTGGGGCTTTCCTACTGACCTGTGCCCAATCTCATGGGCTATAGTGACTCCAAGGTCAAAGCCAGTGTCCTGGGTAATAACACAACTCCAGGAGGAGGAGCAGACTCCACCTAACTGAGTCACTCCACGCAACTCCTTGTTCCCATCAGGTAACTCCAAGTCAAACCTAAAGGAAGACAGATACAGAGGAAAGAGCAAAGAACCGCTGCAGCTACTGAAGTCAGGTCTCGACACTCAGCTGAATTTATTTGGACTTTCCTGATCTAACTTTGCCAGCCAGCTAACATTTCTTTTGATGCATGGAGCTCCCTGTGGCAAGCTGGAAGCATGTGCCAGATGGTCCTACAAGTGCACACTGTTCACATCTGTGGTGATTCTACATTAAAAAAATCCTGACATCCCTGACAAGCAGAACAGACTGAAATGACCTAATGATGACAGAGCAGTGTCATCATCTCTTTGAAGAAAGAGCATCAAAACAAAGACATTACACTCGAGAGAAGTTTGCCTTCAACAAATTTAGCTGAGGCAATTTAGAGCAAGGTGCCTGAAAGTCAGACAAAATGTCCGAATCAGAGTAGCACTAGGAATCTCCTATGGAAAAACTTCCAGTCACTTTTTGACTTTTCTGCACGCAAAAAGTTGCAGTGGGTTTGGCTCTGCTGCTCAAGTCTGGCTGGTCAGCTCATGGGGGATATTCCAGTTCCTTCAGAAACTGAAGAAACAGCATCTCTGACTAACTGTATTACACTAAGGGTGGGAGAATCAATCCCAAACAGGACATTTCCAAAGGTTCTGTGATGCCCAGCTGCTGGAAGAGCCGGTGCAAATCGCTGTCACTTGCTAAGGGCTGGATGTTACCAGCCCTGTTTCCAGTCCCCTCCCAGGGCAGGGGAGCTTCGCTACCTCGTGACATAGAGGACAAGGTCAGCATGCTGGGGGTCAGAGTCATTCTGGGGGTTGACCTTCTTGCTCCACTCACAAACGCTGATCAGCGAGGAGGTGATATTTGTTGTGATGTTTACCTCTGCCTAGAGTGAAGGCACATGTTTGCAATTTCATTAAGTGCAGCTTTTAGCAACCACTTGAGCAGAGTCCTTCCCACTTACCTCTGGCTCTCTCAAAACAAGCATTTGCATAAGATGAACCCTGAAATGAGCTCCCAGTGAGGCATCTCTCAGCAGCTCTGCCCCCTGATAAGAGATAGAAAGGATTCAATAAAGGGGGCAACTCGATGACTCCCACTACCTGTTCCCAATGACAGGCTGCATTCACTACAAAGGTAACACACCTGGTAACTATAAGGGGCAACTATAAAATCACCAGGAAGCATTCACAACATTCAAATATGCACTATAAATGTAAATAAATCTGTTAACAGATGGGAATTGTTGTCAGATTTGTCAGATACTCTGAAGCAGAGAGAAGAATCTCCATGGAAAAGAGTTTCATAGGGTAAGAGAGTGAATGCTAAAGACTTTTTTGCAATACACACAAAGAAAATGCATAAATGATTAAGACATTTAGAGAAATTCTGTAATAGAAATTAAATGCTGAAATGTGAAATGCAAGATTAATTCAGTGGACCTGGTTCAATTTCAGTGAAAGCATCAGGGACTGGATCAAGGCTCTGGTGATAAAAGTTGCTATTTTATCTGACTTACAACAACATTAGTAATGAAATCAAGAACTACGTTTTCTATGTGGGTTTCAAGGCTACAACCCCGATGCTTCTAACGTTCACTTTTACTCATGCAGCTCCTTGTACAAGGGAAAGTTTGCCATGCAGTGCCAAGGGGAGCAGAGACAAACTCCCTGCACCTGAGCAGTGCTCTGTACTAGGAGCACATAACCACCAATACCTCTGAAAGTGCACTCAAAGAGGTCTGCCTGCTTGTGACACAGTCCATGACCCTGTGAGCTCTCACACTGGGACAGCAATCCAAACAGAAATCTACTCACAATGTTCAGGTTGGCAAGAATATACCGCTCCGTGTCCTCTTTGTGGTACAAGTAAACATCTGGACCTGCTATGACCATCAGCTCCAGATGTTTGACAGTCCCCTCAGCCCTCTTCTGCAGGCGAGAGGGAAACCACCCTGCTGAACAGCACAAAGGGACACAGGGAGTTTAAAATGCAAGACAACATAAAAGGTGCTGCAGATCCATTCGCTTTTCCTGAAAGACTGAAATAGGGGAGCTGGGAGACCACTCCTCCAGTTGCTTGCTCAGGTTTCCCACTTATGTTGATTTCTTTCACCTGCTAGCAACCTTCTACTATCAGAATAACAAACACCTAAATGAAAACACACCAGTTAGTTACACCTCTGTGAGGTAAGAAGCATATTCAAGTATACTGTTTGTAGACACCAATTTTTCCTCAGAACTCATGCAAGCAACCCCACTACCAGGAGACAGCTTTTCCAAGCAGAACAAGCAAGGCTTCCTTTCCATGTGCATTACCTCTTGCTGTATTTGCCTCTCTTGCAGCACTTCTGAAGACAACGTGAGGTTTGGAAAAGCCAAGGTCCTTCAGCAGGGCCACATCTTTGCTTCTCACAGGCCTGATATGAATCTTTTCCTCATCTGCAATGACAACTCCTTGCTAAAGGAGATGAAATTCCATCTCAGTTATTCCAAAGCCATTTACTATCAGTGGAGAACCATGTGCCATATCCTTCCTGTTTCTCCTTCATAACGCTTAGATTTATTAAATGGATGGTTCACACGTTTGGTGCATCAAGCTGCAAAGCTACAAGGGCTGTAAAAGCTTGCAAGAGTAAGTTCAGTGCGTACTCACCAGCTGCCCTTCACAGTAAGTGACTCTACACTTCATCCCAGAGGGTTGCAGTAGATTTCCACCTGCAAAGCAGTTGCCTGGGAATCGCTTCAGTAAGCTAAAGGAAGAGTTCACCACCTGATTGCTCACAAAGGAAGAGGAAAGGAGGGTATGGTCCTCCAGAAATTCAAAGGAATAGAGTTCTCCCCAGGCCTCAATGGAGCAATGCTGAATGCAACAGGACTTCAGCCCAATCTGCCCTTCTTTACAAGGGCAAGTTGGCTCAGCAACAGCAAACTCAGGTACTGAAAGAAATAAAACAAGACCAGAACAAAGGGAAAGGTTATGAGAAACAACAATACAAAACAAACTAATGATCTATCTCCTTAAGAAAAAAATACTCCCCAAATGACAATCATGGCCTTTCGGGCTCATCATGTCAATAGCCAAAGAACTTCTATGCTTTCATGTATTCAAAAGTGAAGTTAATCTGATTGGGAACAGACAAGAGCTCTGGAACTGGCTCCTGATTTACCAGTGCTCTTGCTCTCTTGGTAAGGAGAGCAGCGCATTTAACAAAGGCTGAGATGCTTTTATGTCCTCACATGTTAAGTATTAGTGAGTGAGAATTATCACAGTTCAGAGACACAGCGAGATGAGCATTGGGTGAACTCACAAGGAGCCAATCCCCTTTTCTTTAAGCATTTGAGAGTTCAAAATGTACCTTTATTCTGAACTATCATCAATCCAAAGCCAGAATACTAGTTTCTCCATGTGCTAGTTGGTTGGGTTTTTTAAAACAAACAAGTGCATTTAAAGCTATTTTCAGTCTTCCCATTCAGAAGACCTGGATCTGTTCATCTCATAGAAAAATACCAATAGAGAGAATGAAGACTGCAGCAGAAACATGCACAAAGTTTTACCATATCTCCTCCAGCAGACTTTAAATACTGACCCAGTTCTTCAGCCGCTTTCACACTGAAACAGGAACTGCCTGAGTAACAAAGCTCAGAAGTGCTAAATGCTTGTCAGATCAGAGTTCCTTAATAAGTGCTCTTAGTGTTATCAAACATAAAGGATTAGAAATGAACCAACAGACGCATACCATTGGACACTGAGCTGGTTCCAAAATACGAGAAAACATCTTCTGCATCCAAAGCGCCCAGAAATTTCTGTGAGAACAACAATTTACTGGTTTATAAAAAAAAAAAATAACCGGATACAAGACTGTCGTTAACTAAACCCAACCTGCAAAGCACACAGTGAGCGACTCAACAGGCACTGATGCCAAGTTCTCGTGGCTTTATTTCACACTAAGCATGGGCTGCACAGCAGCCACGCAGAGGAAGCCGCTCCGAGTCTGACGGCTTGTTTTTTCCTAGAAATACAAAAGCGTTCCTGGAAACGCCGTTTTCTGCAGGCCGGACTCACCTCTCGCAGCGGCGCGGGCCAGCAGAGCGCCCAGGGGAGCACCAGGAGCGCCCAGGCCCCGCTCATGCTGCAGGAGCCGCGGACGGCGGCGGCCCGGGGCGGAGGAGTTGACCTCGGGCCCGAGGCATCACGTGGCGCGGGAGGGCAGAGCGCAGGGTCCGAGCAAACACGGTCCCGCCGCGGGGGCGGCTCGGGACGGTTTGCGCAACGTCCGCAGCCTCCCGTTGGCCGGAGCCAGCCCCGAGCTCCGTCCGGCGCCGCGACCGAGCGCAAGGGGCGCCCGCGGGGGACGGGCCCTGCGCCGCCGTGCCCGTGCCCGTGGCCAACCCCTCCGCTCCGCGGCGCCGGCCCACAGCGGCTGCAGGCCCCGGGCGCACGCGCAGCGCAGGCCGCGCAGCCCGGAACCGAAGCGCGGGTCCGCGTTCCCGGCCCGGCCGGTGCGGCGCCGGAGTGGCGGGGAGCGGTAGCTGTGGCGCCGTGGGGCCGCGCCGCCTGCCCCGCATGGCGAACCGGAGCCCCGGGGAGCCCGAGGCGGCCCGCGGGAGGAGGAAGGGCTGGAGGGGCCGCGGGGAAGCGAACGCGCCGAAAGGCACCGACGCGGCGGCGGCCGCGGGTCCCCCCCGCAGCCCCCGGGAGTTCTCCTCCAACTGGAAGGCGCTGCAGGAGGTGAGGGGCAGCGGGGATGCGGAGGGGCCCCGGGGCGGACTGGGCCACGCTGCCAGGGCCTGAGCGCGGTTCCGCCACGTGCGTGGCGATGAAGAAAGGCTCGAGCTTGCGGCCAATACATAAAGCGGAATGCCGGGAGCCATTTAAGGTTGCACCCGGTGATCCTTGAGGTCCCTTCCAGCCTGGAATTCTGTGAGCCCCCCAGGAACGATGGTGGGGTCGGAAGCGGGGGTAGATAATACTTTTGTTTTGGGGTTTATTTTGTTTTGTTTTGTCGTTTTAGCTACTGAGGCAAAAGGCAAATAGCTCCAACGAGTCCCTCACTACATGTCAGACATACACCAAAAAGACACAACTACTCAAAGCAGGAAACAGCCAAGAAGTCCTGGTTACCAATGGGAACGGGAATGTGGTAAAGGTCAGATCCACAAATAAAATGGACAGTGGTTCTGGTAAATACAGTTCTCCTTTGGCTAAGGCAAAACCCAAGGGGGTTGCAATGGTTAAGAATATGAATGGAACCAGAAGCAATCAAAAAGACTCCAAAGATAAAACAAAACATGGTGATGTTTTAAAGGAGAAAGATGATATAAAACATAAGAGGAGGAAAGCTGAAGAACATGTGGAGCAGCAACTCAAAGAGTGAGTACTTCAGGTGTCATACATTGACGTGAACATTTATCTTGGGAGGTGTACATAGGGAGCAGAGGAGTACACTCAAACCAGCTGCACGCAAAAACTAAGCTTTGTGTCAGCATGCCTCTTATTTCTCCCTACCCTGCAAGTATAGCAAGGAACTTGCAGAGGTGACAGTACTTAACTAATTGTCACAGAGCCGATTTCTTGATTTTAAAATAAATGCTTTTTCTACACTATAAAGATGAGAGTGCTTTAAAACCGCCAAATGCAATTAAATCTGTACTTACCAGGGCTGAAATCTGGTTTGACGACGTCGATCCAAAAGATATCGAAGCAGCAATAGGATGTGAAGCAGCAAGAATTGCACGAAGAAATCTGGGACTTGAAACAGGTCAATCCAGTCAGTCCGTGAAGCAGGTGCTGGTTAAGGAAGATGCTTTTGAAGGGTGAGTGGCATTCCAGCAGGAAGGATAGCAGCAGAGCCTTTGAGAGCATCTTCTCGTAAGCGTGATTATCGGGTGCGCAGCATAAACTGACAAACTGCTGAGTTTCCTGTTCCTGTCCACACAGGAGCCTCACGAACGCTGCTCTGTGGGCCCTGTGACACAGGCATCACTGAGCTGCCGTTTGTCTTTTAGGCTGACGCGAGCTGTGGCCATGGACTGTGAGATGGTGGGAGCAGGACCCAAGGGAGAGGACAGTATCGTGGCTCGCGTGTCCATTGTCAACCAGTTTGGAAAGTGTGTTTATGACAAGTATGTCAAGCCTACGGAAAAGGTGACCGATTACAGAACTGCTGTCAGTGGCATCCGCCCAGAGAATATAAATACAGGTAGGGTATTATTTTCCCCAGAAAAGGTTTGTTAAGGAGGGAAAATTTAACAGGCTGTCACAGAAGCACTGGTGGCTGAGCTTGGAAAAGTTTTAATCCTATGTTGGGAAATGGAATACAAAACGTAGCCGGAATGCCAAGAAAAGATGGGGGAAGAAGTACTTTTTACAGAGTGGTCACTAATGCCCTGGCAGAAATGTATGTGTGGATAACGATATGGGAATAATAGAAAGTTTATTTACTTCTAGTGCTATGCTCTTTATGGAATTCTCTGTGCTGTTCTAACAAGGAGAGGATTTAGTGTGCTGTGCCAATTTGTGTAACTACAGTCCCAAGGATACAATTGCTTTCACAGAAAAGAGACAGCTTTTTAGTTTTATAACTTGCTCATCTGTCTCCTGCATCTAATAGAAAGTGTTTCCTTTTGTGGTATTTTTAGGTGAAGATTTTAAAACAGTTCAGAAGGAAGTTGCTGACATCTTGAACGGAAGGATTTTAGTTGGCCACGCTTTGCGGAATGATCTAAAAGTACATGTCTCCACATCTTGTATTTTTAGGAAAAGGCTGCAGTAATTTTTAGATTAATTTTCTAGTACAGCATTCTGGATCAGATGAACAAACCTGAACTTCTAGAAACTACAGCTTTATTATTGCTATCTTAGTTTCTTGTCATTTCATACTGCAACAGTTACAGCCCTAGTCACTTGCTCATTAGGGTTCTTCAGCTTTCAAACTGCTTGATGGTGCTGCTAGCACTTACCTGCCTACTAAAGAGGCAGGAAAGAAGCAGAATGATGAAAAATCTGCTTAGTACCCAAAACTTAGCAATCTGGTTGGTGTCACCAGACAGGTACCTTACATCAGCAGCACTGCAGAGGTAGTCTCTACAGGTGGTGCCTTCAGATTAATTTCTGTTTCTCATACTAAGTAGAACTGTGGTTCTTTGAATCCAGCCAGGGTCTGGATGATCTGGGTCTTGTCCATTCACGGTTTTGAACCCTCTCATGGATGGAATGAAGCAGCACGAAGCTGTACGTTCAGCTCTATTAAAGTTTCATGCAGCAGCACACTTTGGACTGTAAATGTAACTTCTTCTAGGTCCTGTTTCTTGATCATCCTCAGAAGAAGATACGTGACACACAAAGATACAAACCTTTCAGACAGAGAGTCGGAATCAAGGTAAGAGACTGATGGGAAGATGCCCTTCAACTCAGTTAACTGACTCATGAGCTGCTGTCTTCCAGTGCTAGCTCAGCCCTACTTGCCTCTACCTGACCCTATTTCTTCTTTCCCACCTGAAACAGGGATGCCTGCTTTTTGTCAATTGAAATATTAATCTAGTTTTATCCTTTCTTAGTGTTTGCAATACATCAATAAGTAACTTTGGTTCAGTACAAACATTACAATTAATACCTGTGCATAAAACTCAGTGACTTTCCCATTCTTTAGCACTTGCATGGTCTTCACAGTGCTTTTCTGGATAGCAAAATAAAATGGTAAAGTTCTACTTTGGTAAGGCTTATGCCATCTTTTTAATGGTACCATTTCCATAGGGATATTAAAAAAAAAGGCTTCAAGTTTCTGTTTCAACCGTAGGAGTAAAGTGTCAGGTTATGGGGAAATGTTTCAACTTTCACAGCTACATACTAGGGTGTCCTTTTTCACAACAAAGCACCCCAGACATAGATCCAAGGGTTACAGCAATACACAACATCCTCTCAGTAGCGTAAACATAAATCTCAATTCATTATTCTTGACAGGTCACCAGTAGAAGCTGAGATGTGCCATATCTTGAGGCTTATGCAAATGAGTGTTTTTATATACATACACACACATCTCTATATGGATTTTAAGTAGTGCAGGACATGATTCTGTCTTTTCTGTCTCCAGAATGGGAGGCCATCACTGAAGCTGCTCTGTGAGAAACTGCTAAATGTTCAAGTGCAGACATCAGAGCACTGCTCGGTATGTAACTCCTCTTAACATACATTTTTGGGTAGATCAAGAAGGTACTACACATTAGCTCTAGGATCTGGGTTCAGTACAGGATACTGTGGGTTCATTCTAGCCTCTCAAAGTTAACAAGCTCTGCTTAGATGCCAGCATGCAGCAGGATTGTCATCTAGCTTGTTTACCATTACATGTCTCATGCCGCTTGGATTATTATCTTCATAAACTATCTTTGCACAAGTCAACCGTATTTTGTGTAAATGTCATTAATTCTCGTTATTTTAAGATCCCCAGGGGAAAAAAAGCAATTCCCAAATATTGACTTGCTTCCCTTAAAAGCAGAATTCTGCACAGTTGTACTGTGACAGGTTGGATAAAATAGCGAGAGCCTACTACTGAATCGCAGCCGTTACTTCCTTTCTTTCAGTGGGCAGCAGAATAAGAGAAGAATAGACTCACCATTAAAATGATGAGTTAGCTGCTTATTAATAATAATGTTCTTAACCCATATCAGCTATGTTTTATTAAGCCTCCTGTTTGTTCTGTTACTTTTTAGGTTCAGGATGCACAAGCAGCAATGAGACTGTACACCTTAGAGAAAAAGAAATGGGAAGCTGCTGTTAAGAACAAGTCTAACAACAAAAATTGTAAAACTTGAATGATTCTACCCCTGTGTTTTTATCTACAGCATTTGCTGTTTTCGTGTTACTTTCCTGGGCAAATTTAGAAATAACTTGGAACTGACAGCAGCAACTTCAAAAAAAATAATCAAGAGACAGTACTTCCTGACCTGGTATGTTAACGCTGCCACCCGAGACTACTGCTGGCACCCCCTTTCTGATGCCTAACACTGTGTTTCAACAATAGCTGTAACCAGTACCTGCAACCAATACCTGCATTTGTGAAGTACTTCATGAGTTATATTTCTGAATAAGTTGAAGTATTTTAAATTACAACAGATGAAAGAAGAAACTGTCATTGCTTTGCTGAAATTCCCAAGACGAAAGTCTTTATTTAAAATACCTCACAGTCTACAAAGTAGGGTGAATTCTTAATTATTGCTGCTAGTCTAATAGCTGTGGTACCTAAAATCAACAAGATCTATAATTGTTTATGTATTTTTAATAGCCTTATATTAATCCTTCTGGTGAGAAAAATCTCTAAAAATCTCTGTGGAGCTTTTGTCTCACTGAAGAAGTACAAGTCTTGTTCTTATGCAAAAATTTCTTTCACTTCTGCAGTCTCAAAAGTGTTGCATCCACAAGGGTTATTATCTCCTGGAGAGGAATGAGAGTTGTTTAAGATTACCTTGTTGCTTCCCTTATTTTTATACTCATTAATAAAAACAGTGTCTAACACACGTCTTTAAAGTGGCTGCTGTTTTAAACATGTGGGGTCCAACTCTACAAAATCCAAAGCAACTGTAATTAGCAGAGTGAAGACTAATGCTGTGATTTAAATTATCTAAATGGATACTGGAAGGTAACAAGGAATGGGCTTCAGAGATTTAGCAGTTGCATCTCACACACTGTACTGCCAGAACAAGAGTGTTCTGGCCTTGTATGTCTTTGCTGTCACCAGGGGATGTGGGGAACAACAAGTGAGGTTTACAGCAGAAGAGGGAGCCTGCTTGCTTCTGATTTTTTCCCCCCTACACTAACAGCTGCAGTGTTCATTAAAGTGGTGCAGACAGTGCCTGCAGGAGACAGTAGAGAACCAGTTTGTGTGTAACTGGCAAATTATGTAAGCAGGCAAAATGCATAACCAAAAAGAGCAAAGTTAAAGGGCTAGCCAGTTTCACTGGCTCGATGAACAAACTTCCAATTACTGCTTTCCTGACAGCAAGCCATAGCAAGGGAAGTGTTAGTGTAACGTTAAATAGCTTGAATAACTGTGCTGTTGCTGGTGTGTTCCACTTTCAGCTGAGATAATGTTCCTCCTAGTATCTGGTGCAGTGCTGTGCTAATCTGAGAATGATGCTGGTAACACACCAATAGTTTAGTTGTTGCTCAGTAGCATTTACCCTGATCAGGGACTTTTCAGTCTCATGCTCTGCCGGTGAGGAGGGGCACAAGAAACCAGGAGGGAGCAGAGACAGGACACCTGACCTGAACTAGCCAAAGGGGTATTCCATACCACAGCATCTCCCATCCCATCCAGGGGGCAGCAGCTGTGTGGTACTTAGTTATGGGCTGTGGTTAAACCACAACATGTAGTTTCAACAGTTACACTAAATTTCAAATAGTCATACTGAAAAAAGTAAGTTAAATCTTCAGGTAAATGGTCACAAGGTATTTGGGGGTTGGTTTGTTTTTAAGGATGCTACTTGCAAAACAAGCAATTGGCTGTAACATACTTACGCTTTATTCCTGTAAACGTTCCTGATTTAGTATGAAGAATGTACTAAGTCAATGCAGTATATCATAAAGAAAACCTCCAACTACTTGTTTTCAGTGGTTACATATATTCATACAAACGCACCCTTCACCCTATTACACCTAACTCTAAAATTCTGCACTATGTAATTCCAGCTACTTGAGAACTATAAAATCCATAACCAGAAATAACATACTAAGTATCCACTCTATCTCCATGACTTCTACATACCATGCTAGATGGAAACTGGCATTTTATTTCAAACAGTAGTTCTTCCATTTTCTGGGACAGCATATCCAGCACAATATCCTCTGTAATGTAGATGAACAGGGTCATTTACGGTTGCTAGCACAACTGCCAATAGTTTCAGTAGGAACTAAAGAACAGCAGAGAGAGGACAGATCTACACACAGAAGGTGAGAGAACTTGCAACATTACAGCAGAGTGGCATTTATTATTCAAGAACAAGGGGGATGAACTTCCAGTTGGAATTAATCCTCTCTCTTAGATACAGAGCAAGTCTTTCCCGTGAGCAACAAAGATGTCCCTCAGCAGATGCTGCTCCAGGTTTTTTACTACCTTTTGGGGGCAGGGGACAGGAAGAGACACGACAAACACCACCCCATCTCACCATACTGAATCATCTCATTAATCAGTATACAGATATTTTCCACTGCTTCTGGATCATCAAAGTGAAGGCAGTAGGCATCTTTGATCAGGTTTATTCCACTGCCTTTTGAATCCATTACAAGTCTGAAAGCTGCTGTTTCTGAAAGGGAAACAAACACTGCTGGGCTACTCGGTAGCTGCAGGCTGCATTGCCTGCTTTCCAGTCCCCCTGTTCCAGCTAGCACATGTGTGATATTTTTCCAGAAAGTCATGCCCTTTATTTTCAGTCTTCCTAAAAGCTATTCTGAAGCGTATTTGGGAACAGCTAGCAGACCACGTAGGCAGCTGACACCATCATGCAATGGCAAAGCGGTATTTTAGTGTTTACCATTTTCATATTGATTCAGTTTTACCCTTTTATACAGTTGAAGCGATTTCATCATAAGTAACAAAACACTCTCAAGTTACTAACAGACCAGCTTGTGCTGATCCAATACTTCTCATACACGCATGCTGGGTCCACGGGAAGAAAACAAATTCCCACCTCCAGTTTCACTATTTCCTCTTCCAGCCCTGCAAGAAAAGGTTAACTCAGGAGAGCAGCTGTCAGTCCCAATCCCACCATGAACTCTCGATCTATATTGAAACATCCACTTTGAGCTAATGTGCAATTAATAAAAGAATTGCTGAACACTACCAGATAGCCTTAGAAGGCTTGCTAGTGCCAGGCAGGCATTCTTCACCAGCACTGGTCTTCCTGGGTTCATCCTGAGCGCATCCAGCAGAAGTGCTGTTGTGGGCTCATACTCATTTTCAGTTAAGCAACCTGAGGAACAAAGACAAACACACAAACCCCCAAAACTTCAATAGGCTCAAAAGCCTTTACACTGATCAGTATTTCAACTTCTGCTTCCTGTTTCTGAAGTGATTTTTTTAATATGCAATAAAAGTTATGAAGAAAGCATGTGAAAGCCTGTACTGCAGTAAAAAAAGGCCAAATGTGGTCACTCCATGAGTTGATCCAGGGGTGCAGGAGAAACTTATGATACATCATCTATGTCAAGATTCCATTTCATTATCCAAGCCAAAAGGAATGAAGAGTCCTGAACAGTCAACCTGTTCTGCTGGTCGATATGAGAAACAAGATCACTTAGGGTGTTTTACTTGGCTCTTCCTCATGGAAAAATGGCATAAGCACAGGGCAGTAGGTAAACATATGGCAATATTCTGCATGAGGAAGAAATAAGACAGTAGTACTGAAGGATGCATTCCTTAGTGCACATGATCATGAAAGATGTATTTTATTTTTTTTTAATCCGAAACATTATTCCAAATTTACAAAGCAAATGGCATAAAAAGAAGCCTCCCAGCCCATGCTGCACACTAATGCTGTCATCAAAGGCATAACACAAATGGGATCCTTGGTCTTAAGAGATAGGCCAGAGAGCTCTCTGCACAACACGGGTTGTTGTAGCTGCCTATCACTACAGTAACCATCAGCAGCATCAGTTATACAATTGCTACAGCTCATCAATAATACCTTCATCGGGGGGTGTTAAAGAGTGAGCCCAGGGAAGACTGGTTAAGAGAGGATGCAAGTTCCTAACTCTGCTGCCACCTGCAGAGCGTGCTGAGATCAAGCAGCCTGTATTTCAAAGATCACCACTGACAAGGCATGTTTGGTACACCAGTCTTTTCTAGGGACAAGGAGAGAGGGAAAACACACCTTGGAGTGACAGTGCCCATAGAGCCGAGCAAGCAGACTCTGCAATGGCTCCGTTCTGGATGTGCTCTTGAAGGACCTCAAAGACAACAGGGACAGCTCTTGCCAGCAATGCACGGTCTATGTTAGTCTCTGAATTACCAGAACAAAAAGGAAAAGCATCAGCATTATTTAATCAACTAATCTCATACACACATTTTATGTCAAACTATATGAGTAAAATCTTAATGCATGTTCGTATTGGAGCAATGAGATATTATCTTAGGATGGACAACAGCAGAGGGAAGGCATATAAAGATGTATAAAAAAAACAAATCAAATTTTAGAGGACTAATAAATAGTAATGTTTATTGCAGAAAGTTGAACTTCTCCAGCAACTAGTTTTCTTTGCCATTGAAATTCTACATGGGGATCACAGCAAGAAATCTTAAAAAATAGCCATCTTTCTGACAGAATATGGTCTGCAGGATGGATATTTGGCTAGTCACATAAATCAAATGGGTGGTTTGCTGCACTGAGGGAATCCTGTGCTTTCAGCCTTCCTGGATGAGTAGAACACCACACACCTATAAAAAAACATGCCACAGAAATAAATCCCCTAAAAAACTCCCAGTGTGCTCTCATAAGAAGGGGTCAGTTCAAGCTATGACTTGTGGCTCTTCAACTCTGTGGGGTGATGCTAGTTTAGTTCTGAGGCAATGGGAAGAATACACTTGCCACCTTGCTAAGCACATTTCTTTTGGTAAAGCAAGTCTCTAGGAGATGTCCAGCTCAAGATGTAGCTCAGTGCTGCCAAGATAAGTGTGACACAAAGCAATAATGTTATTCATTCCAAATGCTATTCTGATAGCTAATCTGATATGCTGTTTGCACTGCACAGAGCAAAACTGTGTGTACCCTTTCATTTCTGACAGCCTGTTCATAAGCTGTATCTTGGCCCAAACAGTAAAAATTTGCCTTTGACACCTTATCACAAAAAAGCTTGCTAAAAAGTCTGAATTAGTATTTAATTTTCTCACATTTAACTCTGGGTCGCTTGAAGTTATTCTAGTACTGCTGAGGAGACATCTCTCTAGAATGGGAGAAAGGAGTAAAATCCAGTCCCAGCAACAGGAATGTCTGAATTCAGATACAATACCTGCTGCCTTTTGTCAGTCTAGGCACAACACTTGCTGTGTTCTACTCACCACTCACAGCCAGGCTCCAGAGCACCCCACAGCAAGGGAGGCAGATATTTTCATTATGAATAAAATTTCTTAAAATTGACAGAAGGTCTGGAATTACTCCAAGTTCCCACAGATTCTCTGCAATGACTTCTGGAAAGAAAAAAAAAAAAGGAAAAAACCACAAGAAAATAAATTCTATAGAATCTGGTTATTTTTGTCCCACTCACTGTCCTCACAACAGAGAGCACTCACCGTATTTAAACAGCGATAACAAACCAGCAACATGATACCATCAACCAGACAAAAGCAAGAGAACAGACCAAAGGTCTTTAACAAGATGCACTTAAGCACAGTGCTCAGCACAAGTGACCCTTTCAAACAGATGTTTGGCCATTTTTTTCCTTGCAGATCTGAAATTTACAGAGCAGAAAAGGACTCAGAGGGTATAAATTGCTATTTTTCAAGTGTTTGCAATTTAGTAATTCAAGTTACCTCAGCTTTAGAATTAGGGGACACTCTAGAAGTAGTTTGGTCTTAGATAAGTTTACTTGTACATGACACTTTTTACATTTTGGGTTTTTTTTTAATAAGATTAACCTCTTCCTGCTAAATTCTTCTGTAAGCATTTAGAAAAGCAGTCTTCTGATGACTGTTGAACGGACACTCAAGACAGGTAAAAAATACTGCAAGTATTTAACAACTAAAATCTCAGGAGAAAAACAAGGAACAATTAGGTAGAAGGATTTCAATTCACCATGGCACAGTCAAAAATAGAATCCAGGTTCTATGGCCCCATTCTCCCAAGCACTACTATATGCACAGTCTCTACCTTGTTTTCAAAACAAGATGAAATACAGAACTGCATGTATTAGAGTGGTCCTGTAAGTACCTGAAGCCTCAGCAGTGTATTTTACACTTTCTAGAGTGTTATCTTACCGATATTACCACTATCAAACCAATACCTACAGACATCCACATCTCCCAGTGAAGTCACAAGTTCTGTATTATATCTTAGATTACAAAAGCAGAAACACAAGAATATTCCCCAAAAATGAACCAGGTCACCCACCGCTGGCTGAAAGCGTCATCAGTAATGTGCAGAACAATGAAAGTAACTCTTCACTGTCAGAGTGTTTTCTCACTGTGTCTAACAGAGAGCTGATCAAATTCTCATCCAGGACCATCATCATATCCAGTTCTAGAGCTGTCAGAAGTAAACATTTGAACAGAACAAAGCCTGAGCCCCCTGCTGTCAGTGCAAGTAAAACATTCAGTTAACAGCATTTCTTAACATAACGTATCCCAAAGTTAATTTAAATTTTTCTTTTTCTGAAACATAATTCTTACTGTTTTCAAGCTTATATCATTATCAGGTGTTATTCAGGTAAATTGCCAAGCAAGTGACAGCAGGGACCACACGAGAGACCAAACCACAGTTTTATGGCTTGAAATTCAAATACCAGGACACTGAGAGTCTCTTATTTACACACTCTAGTAACACTCTACGTAACATGAAACTTGGTAGCCTAAGATTAGTAACCTGTATTTAAAATTAACATTAACACAGAAATCATGTATGCCAGTCCTGAATCAAGTCCATGAGAATCCATGATCTTACAGCTAATTTCTCTATTACTTTTCATTTATCCCTTAAAAGCATTACTGAACCCATTTAAAACCTTATATGCTACATCTAACTTACAAGATAAGGCTGTATTACTCAGTATAAATTGGAAGTCTCATAACTGTACCTGGATTAAGAATTTCAAGCAATAAACTGCAACCGTCTACTTGTAACTTGAGAGAATCTACATGAGTCTTCGTGGCAAAAGTGACCAATTCTGTGACCATCAGCAGATAGGGAGAGGCTGGGGGGAAGAGTTGAGACAACGTTCAGTTTCAGAGCTTCAAACACTGAGTGGATATCTATACTCCAAAACACAAAAGTTCCAGTTTCAAGTAAATTTAAGTCCCTTTTTTTCCATAAAGGCGATGTAATACAGCAGAATAATATTTTAAATCAGAGAGAACAAAATGCTAGTACAGGTGGAACAATACAGAGTGAATTTTGTAGTCTCCGTGGGAAATGTCTCTTCAATAGAGGCAGCTGCAAGGCTATGCAAACTAAGTGCAGCCAGCATGTTGCTGGTAAGTCAGATTGGCATGGTTAACTGGTCACGTAGCAAGCTGTGGGGTAGAACACCGTGCATGAGCCCAAACCCATGCTTTCCAGGATCTGTGGCTAAAAGTATTTCACTAGGTCTCCTAGTTCTAGGAAGACACTGAACTTTTGGAATAGCTAATACAACTATTCACTGTATCCACAAATGCATGATGAAATGTTGAATTGACTACATGTTGAATTGACTAATGTTGAATGGACTACATTTTGAGCATCTTCAAAGATGTGAGCAGTCATGGTAAGTCACAGAGCAGAAGTGACAAACAAGCCAATCAGATGTGTGCACAGCCTTGTATTGTTGTCAATAGAATTGAATGAGAATCACAAAGATCCATTTGTTTGATTATTTATAACCAAACCCTGCTGATCTACTGAGTAAAGCTTTCTTCAGTAACAGAATTGAAGACATGGGTAACTAAGAAAAGTAAATCACTTTTTCCTTATCAATTAGATATGAACACCTCTGTGTTTAAGCCTGATAAGCTAATGCTAGCACTGAAATGCTATCAAATGACAGCACATTAAATAACTGAGGTAACATGGTGCTTTGAAAACACTAACCTTGACCTGAAAGAGTAATCTGAAAAATGTACAGATGCCAGAAGAAAGTATAGTCTTCACTCACACTGCTTTATTAAACATACAGGAATTAGACATGCGTAGCTTTCTTTTGCTCTATCACTCTTTTAGCCCTAGGCATTATCCTCAAGTTGCCCAGCACTGATATGAATTCTCTTCCTTAAATGTCAGTTTGCCAATTCAATGAGTTGCCAATTAAAATATCACTAAGGTTTTTTTCAGTGCCTATTTTTCTCATAAGGTGAAGAACTTCTCCTGTGCAATAAAAGCAGTTACAAAACAAGTTCATTAATAAAATAGTGACTTACCACTTTTATCTCTTATGAAGCTGGTGAGGTGCTGAATGGCTTTCACTTGTACTAATTCTATATGCCAGAAAGCCTGCATGATTTCTAAATAAACCAAGAAAATTCCTTTAACCATTAGATACAAACACTTAGAGAAAGCACGCAAATTTTCTCTATTTTGTGCAAGATGTGAATTCATATTAATGAAAAAATTGTAATTTGTTATTGTTGAAAAAAAGGAAAGCTTTTCCCCTAAATCAAACACTTAAACACTACAAAATGTTATGATCCACCTGCATAATCTGTGAATTTGGCATTATATACTTTGGGGACCTATTAGAATATTAAATCAGAGCAGAAATAGGGGATCTAAATGCATTATTCCGATAGCCTCTTCAGATTAAGAAAATAACTTCCTTATTTGGAAGGAATTAATGGAGCAGATCCTTTGTTGGCATAATTTGGCAAACATTGTTAGAATGTAGACAAAGTAAGTGGGCCTCATCAGTTTTCTAAGGAATGGTCTGACCCCATTTACTGGTGCAGTAGGTGTGGCTGATAATCTTACAAGGTTATATAAAGGCTGTGTAAAATCCTTCCTCCAAATAGCATCCCACTTTATTTCAAGTAAAATTAATGCCCAATAATTAATTTTCAAATAAAACACATGCTGACTAGAAAACACACAGGTTTAATTCCTATGAAAATCACTACCAATTTCATTTAACTTATTACCTAGGACATTTTCAATTCCTCCCTCAAGGAGCACATCTACTATTTTGGGAGGCAAAGACGTTTTCAGTTTTACTGAAGGTGCACCAGCAGCAGTCAGGTAGTCCCTGATAAACGGAACATCAGTCAGATCTCTAGAATTACAAGAGACAAAAGCAGAACCAGTAAGTTAGAAATGGTAAGTTACAAAGAAAATCTGTAGGCTTTGTTTCATTTTGATATAAAAACCTAGTATTTCTTCTCAAGACTAGATTATTTTTGATAGAACTTAAACAATTTACTACAAAACAGCTAAAGAAAGCATTTACACTAAGCAAGCCATGCTTAGGCTTCAAGTTAATGGCTTGTAAAACTGTGTACAACATGATTTTATGAAGTAACTCTATCAAAATGCCCACTTCTGAACAATCACCAAGCCACTGACTTTTCTAATAACTCAATTTGCCATGGCAGTATGATCAGCACCCTTGACTCGAGTTCTTTCAAAGAGCAGCTAACATTTTCATCTTTGTGAAGGTAGGTGAGGCTTAGGACCAAAAAAAACAAGCCAAAAAAATGAAAGGCAAGAATCCAGAACTCACTCTGCTGTGGGTCTCATGCTGGGCTGAATCTGTAGCATCATAAATAAAACTGGAAATAAAGTCAAAGAGCTGTTATCTCCATTCTGCATTACTGTCTGAACCCCCTCAAGATGGCTTGTATCCTGTCTAATATCCTGCAGTAATGAAGTTATCTCTTCTCCCTGTGAAAAGTGTGCTATCAGAAGAGCTTTCACACACTTGCTTACAGACATCCTAGTAGGCCCATATTTTAATCTATAATGAAGCATTATTACATACATTCAGAATAAAGCAGGTCATCATGTCAAGTAGAATACAACCTAGAGACCAGATGTCAGATTTCTCAGTAAAAATAAAATCGAATGTTTCTGGAGCCATCCAAGACTTGCTATCTGTTGAAACACAAGTTATGCAGTAATGTTGCTAACACTGTACTATATATAGTTTCTGTTTGCACATGAATGAACTGCAGGCAATTATTTTATGTCAAAAAATAATTAAGGTATATTCTGCAGAGATTAGACACTTTTTACTGGCGAGACATCACAAGAGACTAAAACACACTGTAACTACTGAGCAATTTTCTAAGATGTTACTGCATATATATCAAGCTAAAACGGATTCAAACCCTGTGTTGCAGAGGCCTGAGACTCAGACATACCTATAGCTTTCAGTTATGAGCAGGGAACTGCAGGCAACTGCCTAGGAGTATCCTATTCACACTTTAGAAGGCAAATAGTGTAATGTAGAAAAGGAGGAGGGAAAGCTAGTTCTTCTTTGGCTGATTTTTCTGAGGGCTAAAGAATATCCACCCTAACCAAATCTTTTAAAGTAAAAAAAAAAGAGTAAAACAAATAACTACTTTCTTCCACTCTTATTTTCCATTTCATCTCATCTGTCATAAGTGTTTCTGTACTGAAGTCGCTAAGCATGAAGGATGCTTCACCAGTCACAAGTATGTTTGACGGCTTGAGATTTCTGCAACACAAAGATTTTCTGTCAGTCTGCGAAACTGGAGTCTAATGATACACAACTACATGTTCCCTGTATCTTTACACATCTGGATATGAAGACCAGAATTTCTAGCTCCTACTCCCCCTTTTGGAATAGTAAAAATCACTGCCTCTGAGCAGCTGTGCTGAACCATGTCACTGCAAAGAGCAGTGACCTGTCAGACACAGAGAACAAGATTTCTACTCACCTGTGGAAAATATTTTGTTTGTGTATATAAAACAAAGCATCCACCATCTGTCCCAGGAACTTCAGAATCACCTATTGAGGGGAATATACATTAAAGCATAACAAATAGAATAACTTAGAGGGACCTTTTGGAAGACAGCTTCTGAAGCACCCTTCAGCAAAACACTGTGCTTTGAAGGTTTTAGGGAGGACTTTGAGAAAGAGGGAATAGCAAGGGAGAAATATAAAAGCAGTTGAACTCTATCAGTTCAACCAGATGCTTTTTCTGTACTTTTTACCATGTCTGTTATTTTTTCCAACTTCTGCCTTTTTTCCTTGATGACAGATGAAAGATCTCTTTGGCCTGAGTGCTGCATTACCAGATAAAGGAACAGACATGACACCTGCAAAAAACACCACACCAATTTTGTCCAATTGTTTGTATGGAATCCTATATCCAGTAAGAAAGATAAAACCAAGCACTTGGCCAAACTGGTGGGTGTGCTGCTCACCAATACCAAGGGGTGTTCCAAGATGAGTAATCTCTTGCAGAGGAGACAATATTTACTCTTTTATTAAAAATATACCATGCGTGTCGTTTTGGGGGATTTTGGGGGTGTTTTGGTTTTTTGTTTATTAGCTTTTTAATACCAAAAAAAATAAAAATCATCAAGCATCTTATCCAAAGCCATGTGGGACAATTCAAGTCAAATACACATCCATAAAAATCAATACAAAGTTTGCCTGAGCACTCAATAAATTCTGCAAGTAAATGAGTCAGGGCTTTCAGCTTCCCATAGTCCCCTCTAAAAGGGTCTTCATGCAGGCACAAAATCAGTACTGCACACTGGTTCATATCAGAAACTGAGTCAGGTGCAGTACCACATGCGAGCGACTCCAGTCCGCGTATCTGCACAGCTTTTCAGCATGTCTACTCAGGAGTTAAAGCAGGCTCCTTTCAGATCAAATAACCTCTCTTTTTTTTTTTTTTAGCATCTCACACCAACAACCCTAGATTTAAACCTGCAAAAATGCTGACACGCCTACAATGTTAACCCTGTGTTCCAGTGTAACCAATCCTTCATTCTCACCTTATTATCCCAAGTCACAAACGATTCCTTGTAAGTACAGATGTTTGAGTGATGAAGGTTTAGCAAATTCATTGCCTGCACAGAATAAAAATTACAGAGAAACCTTTCAATAGCTACAGTCCTTCCCATTAACAGGAACCTTAAACAATATCCTAAGCCAGTTCCCGACTTGTTTGTGTCATGTGCCTGCTCAAATTCTTTCAGTGTGCAAGCTCTGTTATCTATCTGCATCTGCCAGTGCCAAGTTAAGGAAAATATTTAATTGAGATTCTACTCAATATAATGCTGCAACAGCCTTGTGAGATTCAAGGATATAAATTGATCCTTAGAGAGATGATATGTGAACCACTCCCTCTTCTTCAATTCCTAAGCCTGAAAACACATATTAGAATATGAAAGTCAAGATTCTTTTTCTAGCATAACCATTATTTCCAGTAACCCCTATGCAAGATTGACACTGGTGAGATGCTTATCTATCTCCTTGAAGCTGTTTTCACTGTAAGGACTTTAACAATTACCAATTACTTCAGCAAGTTTGCTGATGATGTGAAAGGCAAGAATTCACCTTATTCTCCTATAGTTGTGTTTGTAGCTGTGCAGACACAACAGAAGAACTCTAAGAGCCATGCTCCCAGCTGGCATAACTGCATTTATGTCGATATACACATACATGAGCAGAAAAATTGGACCAAAATCTCAATAATGCCTTGGTACATAAAGAGATCACCTCTTGAGCAGGATGAAGCATCTGTACAGATGTGTATTCTCACTCATTTATAACTGCAGACATCATGCATGCTGGACATTGTGAGACTAATCCATCATCTGCTACTGCACATGATTTAAAATGCCAAAATTCATTTCAATAATAGTATTTCTAGTGTTGCTTCTTACTCAAGGCATTGAAACAAGTTTTTTTTTTTTAAAAGTATAACAAAAGAAGTTAAATCATTCACATAAAAAAATGTCCAGGTCTCAGAAAAGAACACATCATGAAGCATATTAACTAGAAATTGAGTTATTAGTAAAACTATAAACAGAAGATTCTCCTTAAACTTAAAGGCCAAAACAACGAGCTTTGCTCTTTGTCTTCAGCACAAAACAAATACAAATGCTGAAAAAGGACTAACCTCTAAGAACAGCTGTCCATTTGAATCTACATATTCAAACAGAAGAGAATTAATACAAAATACTGACCTAAACCCAAGCAGAGAGCAGGGAGAACATCCCTCAGGTAGTCCTACCTGATTTACATCTTGACTATTTACTTAGTTAATCCTTACAGATAAAAGACATTGGTCTGTTAAAGACTTTGGTCTTTCCAATAAAGTACTGAAGAAAAATTGCACTGATACCTCCTTCAAGGCCTCATTTGCTTGCTTTTCTTTAATGCACTGCACCTGCAACAAACAAAAGACAAGGATGAGATTATAATATAGAGACAGGCACATTTTAAGCCTGAGCAATCTTGTCAAGAATACTAGAACTGCAAGTTTTGCATGAATTGGCATAAATTTTCAGTGACAGCTCCAGTCCCTAATGTTTAGGACAGTCTCCCTGGGAGCTGGCCAGAAACAGTTTCAAATGAGTCCACAGCAGTTTTACCTAGTCCTTTCTTGTACTGCCACAGTAGCAGCAAGCTAATGTGAAAACACATCAGATGGACCTAAATAGGCTGCTCCCATTTCCCACTTTTAACCTCAATATTCTAGTAATCTGATCTGAATCAGCCAATTTCTAAAACAGCAGCACAATAAGATGTAAGCCTACTCTTACCCAGGGGCCAAGCAACCTGTGTGTCTGTTACTATCAAAGGGGTCACAGAGATTAACAAATGTGCCAATGGACTCTTGTTTTCTTAGCGACGACCTTCTCACCTGCTTTATTATGTATTTCTTCTCCACACCCTTTTCCGTTTTCAATTCAGCTACCAGCATCCTGCCCAGGGCCCCAGGCTGGAGCTGCTCCAGCACCTGCGGGGCACAGGAAACACTCGGGCACTTGGTCACTTGCAAGCAGTAGAACAACAACGCAAAAAGTCCCTTCAAGCCGCTTTCCCTGCAGACACCCCCCACGCATCACCACGGCAGGGTGACAGGCTCCCGCATGCCCACCCCATCCTCGGGAGGCACACAGGCTTCCCCTTCCCCTCGGCAGGGAGACCAGCCCAGCGTACCCACACGCCTGCCCCTAGGCCACAGTGCCTTCTACCATCCCCAGTAAGGCTGCAACCACCCCCTCCCTGACGGACGAGGCCTGGTCCTGCAGGCAGCACCTCGTACTTCTCCATGGCGGAACAGGGGGAGGCAGGGCAGGCTGCTGGTGTGGCGGGACCCCCGCAGCTGGCCTGGCCTGGCCTGGCCTGGCCTGGCCGGGCCGCGCCCGCCGCCCGCTTCCCCCCACACAACCGCCAGGACGGACAAAACGCCAGCACCGCCCCCGCCCCGGGCTGCCCCTTTAAGGCGCGGGCGGAGGGGCGGGGCCGCCCCACCCTCCCCGGGCCACGCCCCTCCCCGCGTGCGCCGGCGCTGCCCCCCGCGCGGCGCCTTTAAGGGCTGGCCTACGTGGCAGCGCAGTGATCGGTGCGCGGCCCGGCGCTGCCCCGCCACGCTCCGCCCGCTGCCGTCTCCGAGAGCCGGGCCCAGGCGCGCAGAGCCGTCGCACCCCTGCCGCCATGGGCCAGAACGACATCATGAGCACCGCCGAGGATTTCGCGGACCAGGTGCGTGCCTGCCTACCTGCCTTTCCTTCTCTGGCCGGGTGCCCTTTGTGTGCTGGGCCGCTTCCTCGGGCGCTGGGGTTGGCTGGGGTGGGAGTGAGGGAAGGGAAGGGAAGGGGAGGGCAGGGCAGGCCGCCGGCCTGTGGGCTCAGCTGGGCCGCGGTAGAGCAGCCGGAATGGCGGCGTCCCGGAGCGGGGTCGCCACCTTGGGGCCTGCTCTTCCGGCGGGCCTGCGGGCTCCCTCGGTCGCGTCGCCCCGAGGGAAGGCTGGGGCCCGGCTTCCCGCCGGAGAGGGAGTGGCCGGCGCGGACCCGGCGGCTGGGTCCCTGTGAGAGTGTCGGCCCCCCGTCCTCATGCGAGCCTTGCGACTGCTCCTCAGCCTGTGTACAGCGAAGCAGACAAGTTCTCCTTGGGAACCGGGCTTCCTCCTGGGAGTGGAAGGAGAGCAGAGTCCGAGCCGCTCTTGTCTTCCTGCAAGCTGTCCGGGCTGGCAAATGGGGCTTAAAGGGGTGTGGGAAATGGGGGCGAGGTGATGGGGACAGAAAAGCGAAAATCTAAGCCCCGACCGGTACCTGAAAACCCAAACTGGAAGATGTTTGCGAGCACTCGGGTGCTGTGCCTGGATAAAAGGAGTAAAAGGGGTGAAACGAGAGCAAGCCAGTTGATGCTATCTGGTAATTCTCTTTACATCTATTTCAGTGAAGGTTCTTACAGATTTCTCTATTAAATAGAATTTTCTAATCTCTTATATGTAAGAGTAGAAACATGTTGAGCATAAGTAGTTGATCTGCTGGTGATGCTTTTAGAAAGATACTCACTGTCATTGTGATTCATCTAATTGAAAATAAGAGGCAACATCTTATATTTAACAGGTTCTCTGGAAAACCTGATTCTGACTGGTTTTACAGCTCTGACTGTTGAAATTGTGTGGTGCAAGAGAACATGTCACAGCTCTGAGGGGGCTGTGCTGCCTCTGTGTCTTTAACCGGGTTTCACTGGGAAAACCTGTTCCATGCTTTCTCCCCACCCCCAGATGGAAATTTCAGAGACAGAGCTTCTTGTGGTGCATGGAGTATCCACTTTAAAGGGTGTCTGGATCATCTTGGTCATCCTCTGTTTGCCTTCTCCTCTCACTCCCTTTAGAGAAGAAAGTAAACTGTTGCTATAGTGTTCAAACTACTTGCCAACTCTTGTCCTGACCTTTTCATAACACCCCTCTATTTACTCCTGTGTGACTATTTCTAGATGTCCTTAACACCTCTTTATTCATACTAATGAAAGCTCTTTTATCCATCTAAAATGCTGTTTGTTTCCTCCTGAAATGAGTTTTAAATGGCACAGCATTATTTGCGCTTGGCCACATCCTGTATAAAAATGAGTTTTTAGCTGCAGAATTCAAAGTGTTTGCCTACACTTACCCATCAGATGATAAAACGTTTTTATGCTTTCCAAGTAACTAGCCCCTTTGATAATTCTGCCTTCGGATAGCTGCCTAGTAGCTCAGTCATGCTCTTTCTGTATGTGTATACTGCTAGAAGTTAGTATCGCACCAGTGTAGGAGTGATTTACTAAGTGATAACCTTTGGTATATATTACAAATTAACACTTGTCTTATGGAAACTTAGTTCATACTAGATTAAAAAAGTATTTGGAACATTTGGACTGAAATTACGTTGAGGCTCCGCTTGATGGAGGCGGAGGAAGTTGAGCTGGACAGTGTCTGTTCTGGGAGCTCTGTGCATTCTCAGTGTACCCTGGATTTCTCCATTGCCTGTACTAGTGCTCAAGAATAACGAGGCTTAAATTTCTGCAACATAAACGCCCTGTGGTAAAGTGTTACAGCTACTTCCATGGTTTATCAGCACCTCCCGAATGTCTCTTACAAGTGCAATAATAATCCATTCCTTAAATTGAAACACTAAAGCTTAACTTTTCTCAGTTACTGTAATTTCTATGTGAATTGGCAAATTATGCCCTAGATGCCAAGATATTCAGTAGTAACGAGTAATCCAAGGGTGAGCTAGTGCAGTGAAGACATGGTCTTACAAGGCAGCTAAGCTTTTCTGACAGCTAGCTGTCAGAGAAAGGTACTGTCCTGCTTCTCCCATGGCTGTGGGCCCCTTTTCTCTCACACCAGCACTTTACAGTCACTGGACTGGAGAGCTTAACTGGAAGGGAAAAAAAGAGATGATTTTTTCTGTTGGTTCGATTATATCATTGTTTAGATCAAGTGAGCACCAGTACTTGTTGGGGGGATCACTTGTGATGAGAACTAGCTGTGAGTTTAGCTTGGCTATAGCATGAGTTTGTAGCCCACAGGTGCACAGTATGGCTGGTGAGCTGTGCTCTGAGCTGTTGGTGATTTCCAAGGCCTGCAGCAGAGGCCTTGCTTGGGCCTGGGCCTGTTGAATTCAGGGAAGGCAACTTGTTAGATACTGGGGAGAGTGGGAAAAACTATTAAAGGCTCTTAAAACCTGGGTGAGCCACAGTGCAAGGAAATCACAATCTTGGTTCAGAATGATGCCCAGCTACAGGCTTCATGGGCTGATTTCTTTTTAAGCACAGCACCAGCCCAATCTTAATTTCTGAATTATTTATTAATAGATAATATTTAGAATTATTAATTCTGAATTATTTTATTAATAAACCCTATTTTAGTGTTTCCTGTTTAAAAGACTGCATGCTAAGCACTTTAGTGCAGTTGCCATGTACCGCTGACATTATTGTACTGAAAAATAGCTGTATCTGGGCCCTGTGCTGATTGTTTAGGGTTCAAGAGCTGGTTGTCTCTCCTCTGTAATCCCCGCAAGAGGGAGCAGATCACAGGAACTTTTCTAGTGTCTGTGCTAATCTTTAGGAATGTGGGTGCTTGGTATTTCTGCTGTCCTAAAAAAGTTATGGACAGAAGTGTAAGGAGACTATTGAGTCACTGTGCTGCAGTGAAAGGGCTGCAAGGGACACCCAGACTCTGGGGGTTTCATTTAATTTTCCAAAATAAATGCTGATGCATGTTCAGCTAATGACAACATCTCTGTATCCTATTTTGCAGAACATGGAAGGGAGAATAAAACGTTTAATGTTGGTCTGAACTTTTCTATGTTTTATATTAAAAATGAATTTGGAAATGTTCTCTATAAGTTAGTGATGTCAGTACATCAATCTTACAGCATTATAAGCCACATACCCTGTTCTGGTTAGGCTAGAAAATAATCTCCCTATGAAGAATGATAACAAATTCCAATATACAGAAAAATCCCATTTAAGATTTGATTACTAAATAGCTTTTTGAAAAATGGAATTGGTATAAGGCATGTTTTAGGAGTGAAAAGCATTATTACAAGAATCTTCCTGCAGTTAAAAATTTAAGATTGCTGGCAATGTTCTAGTGTGTCACAGCTCTATTCCTGCCATTTGAAGTAAGTAGGAAAGCCTCTGTTTCTAGCTTTCCCAAGGAACTCGCATACATTGATCAACTCAGTGTGGTGGGTGCTGTTGTCCTAGTGATGTTTAGGTGAGAGTTCTTTCAGTGGATGTACACAGGTTGGTGAAAGAAGTTATTTGTTCTTTTTTCTCTGCCAGAGGATTGAGCATCCTATTCCATGAAGGATCACAGGCTGCTGGAAGTATCTGATCTCCTGGAACAAAGGAAACCCTTAAATGAATGTCATTTAGATATTTGCAATATGCCTTTATGGGAAGCTGTAAGCTAATAATGCTGTGCAGCACGCAAGGGCTTTCTGGGTACATCAGCAGGCTGCTCTGCTGATCGCCATGATCAGCACTTCCCTGATGTAAGAGCACACCTCCTGGCTATGTACTGGTCTTAAAGTACCTGTAGTTATGGTATATGCACTTTGAACAGCACAGACTAGAGTTTTAACAAATTTGATACTGCTGGAGGTAGAATATAGTTTAGAAAGCATCATAAAGAGTCAAAACAGAATGATTTTATTACCTCTGTTTGGACAGGTCCTTGTCATGGGTTTGAGTATTTTAAGCCTCATTTTGGAAGATCCTGGATCCTCTTGTACATCTCTGCTTGTTGAGAGGAACAGTGAACTCTGCCCTGATGCTATTAGAGGGGAAAGTGGCAACGCAGAGCCCCACTAAGTGTATGCTAGTGACTTGGCTGCCAACATAGAACCAACTGGTCTTCAAAATAGTTCTACTTCAGCATGTTTTCTCTTCTCAAGATGTATTGCCTCTTGGAAGGAGGCAGTGTGTGCTAAGAACAGGTGATGCAAAACCCACAGTGGAATAAGCTATCCTATTACTTGATGTCATGAGTTTAACACTGCAGCTTCCATCAATCTCAACAGTTTTGCTTCGGTTTACAGGTATCGTGCTTAGTGGCATGCATGTTTCGGGTCCCACATCTTAACTGGTTATGTTTATCAACTGCAGTTACCACATTTCCCATATGTGCTGCTTTTATCTGTGTAAATTTTAAAGGAAGTAGGAAGTGGTCTAAGGTTACAACATTTGAGACACAGTGATGTGCAGAGCAGAAAAACAGTGTGTCTGGTACTATTAGTTCAGTCCCACTTCTGGAGATCTCCTGTTTCTTAGAAGTTACCTTGTCCTTAGTTAAACTAGAGGGTTTGGGTATAAATCACCCAAGTAATTGC